TGCTTAGTGATTTACCCTCAGGAACCTTTAACTCAGTTCTAACAGCCTGTACGAGTGCCTCATCCACCGTTGCCGGTCGTGCTCTCTGTGATTCCCATCATGTAATCCCCATCTTCCCTCACAGAGAGCTTGCTTTTCCATTTAGTTCTCCTCTAAGCACACTGTCGACAGCCGGGTGTTCTGAGTCAACACGTCATAGGAACCGCACCTCATCGCAGCTATTTTCTTTGTTACTGACTGTCACCCCTCCTTGCGATGCACCTGTAGCGCCTCTGTCATCCTTCCCAGGGCAGAGTGGAAGTAACGACTCATTTCCTGGGGCCGTGGTTTCCAAAAATGACCCATTTGCAGACGGTTGCAAACTGGTTGCAAAAGATGCTCCCCTGGAAAGTGTATTTGACATGCCCTATCTTGTAAGGTTGTGAACGCAGAAGGGATAGGACAGTGGTGGATGGGTCCACAGATTTCACAGCTCCCGGATGACTCTCATGGTGCTGATGCATTGGCAGGCTGGGAACCTTCCCTTTATTAACCTCTAAGTGTGCAATAATTTCTCACTGTAAAGACATACTAATTCTGCAATAAATGTACGTCTTAGTGCACATGCAGAGTCCTGACGAGGGTGCTGGCTCTCGGAGCTGGAAGTACAGACATTTGTGGCTCCAGTGCAGGTCAGGTGTCATGTGGGTGCTGGGATCTAAACTCTGTCTTCTTGATTTCATAGCACCCTTAACCACTGAGCCACCTCTCTAGCCCCTAAAGTAAAATTCTCATGGCACTTGACCCGGAGTCTATAGGGTAAACTAAAACTTGTTTTAGTTTACGAGTATTCTAGCAGCACAGCCATAATCGGAACTCTTCCCTGACTGGATTAAAGTTGATAAACTGTCAAGGCGGTGGTGGCGCACACCTTTATCCCAGCACTCAGGAGGCATAGGCAGATGGATCTCTGTGAATTTGAGGCCAGCCTGGTCTACACAGCAAGTTCCAGGGCAGCCAAGGCTATGTAGAGAGACCCTGTCTCACTAAACCCCCATTAAAAAAATTTCATACCCTTTCTAATTACAAGAAGGCTTGTACCTGGCTTTCACATAAATTGCCTTTGAGATTAGGGTCTTGAACTCCAGGGCTCAAAAGATTCTCGCCATTTCAACTCTCCAAGTACGGGGCCCTAGAGTATCAGTCACCACACTGTTTTCAAGGAAGTTCTACTTATTTTTGTTTTCTTCAAGGGTTTCTCTGCGTAGCCCTGGAACTCACTTTGTAGACTAAGCTGGCTTCAAACTCACAGAGATCCATCTGCCTCTGCCTCCTGAGTGCGGGAATTAAGGGCTTGTGTCACCACTGCCCAGCTGGAAGTTTTACTTTTGTTTTTGATATTATTTTTAAGATAGGAGCTCACTTTGTAGCCTTGCCTGACTGGCACTTGTGTAAACCAGACTTTTCTTAAACTCACAGATAACTGCTTACTGTGGCCTAAGTGCTGGTCAAGTACTTGGTTCTCTCCCTATATCTTAGGCTGTTATGGAACTTGCTGTATATAGCCTCAAACCTGTGATCCTCCTGCATCTGCCTCATGAAGTGCTGGCTAGCCATCACACCTAACCTTTCACTTTAAATGGAGTATCTTCTATGTCTGGATTTCTGATTTTTTTTTTTTTTAGGGAAAGATTTAACACAGGACTGTGTTCTTCAACAACAGAAGGGGTTTTTATACACACACACACACACACATATGCAGAATTTTAAATTCCACTGCTTCTCTGGAGGTATCACAATCCCTGACTTCAAACTCTACTACAGAGCTACAGTACTGAAAACAGCCTGGTATTGGCATAAGAACAGACAGGAGGACCAATGGAACCGAATAGAAGACAAAAAGATCAATCCACACATCTTCAAACACCTGATTTTTGACAAAGAAGCAAAAAATATCAAATGGAAAAAAGAAAACATATTTAGCCGGGCGATGGTGGCACACACCTTTAATCCCAGTATTCGGGAGGCAGAGGCAGGCGGATCTCTGTGAGTTCGAGACCAGCCTGGTCTACAGAGCTAGTGCCAGGACAGGCTCCAAAGCCACAGAGAAACCCTGTCTCGAAAAACCAAAAAAAAAGAAAAGAAAACATATTTAACAAGTGGTGCTGGCATAACTGGATATCAACATATAGAAAAATGAAAATTGCCGGGCGGTGGTGGTGCACGCCTTTAATCCCAGCACTCAGGAGGCAGAGGCAGGCGGATCTCTGTGAGTTCGAGGCCAGCCTAGTCTATAGAGTGAGTTCCAGGACAGACTCCAAAGCTAGAGAAATCCTGTCTTGTCAGAGAAAAATGTAAAGCTCAATAAAAATCAATAAAAAAAGGAAAAATAATTTCACTGCTTCTCATCTCAGTCAGATCTTAGATTTCCAATCTGTTTTCTATAGGTCTGAATTTATGTCTCCTGTACATAAACTCAAAGTATCTCCAGGGCTCAAAAGACCCTCTCCATTTCAACTTTTCACGTACTGGGCCTAAGGCATCACCACACTTAGTTCTCAAGAAAGTTTATTTAGTTTTTTTTTTCCAGACAGCATTTCTCTATGTAGCCCTGGCTGTCCGTGAACTCACTGTATCTATCAGGCTGGCCTGGAACTCAGAGAGATCCACCTGCCTCTGCCTCCCGAGTGCTGGGATTAAATGCATGTGCCTGCAGTATCTGGCTCTATGCTTAACCTTTAAGACAGCTGAGCAGGGGTGGGACAGGGAGTGGCCAGAGATTAAGCTTGGGTGTGGGACAGAGAGTAGGTAGAGATTGGCAAAATGGCTCAGTAAAGGCACGTGCCACCAAGTTTGAATCTAATCTTTCTTGGACCCACAAGTGGAAAGAAAAAGCAAAGTATACTCTTATTTCCCCAAGTGCATGCACATCCTGCCCCAACGATAAATGATGTAACAAGTAGCCAGGACACACACACACAAACACACAAAGGAAGCAACACCACCAAGTGGTGGAGAGACCCCTCTGAGCTGCAGGACCTCTAAATGAGCTTTACTCAAAAGCTAAAGCTTGCTCTACTCAACGGTCCTTTCAAGGCTCTTTTAACCTAGGAATGCAGAGTGGTTACCTGAGAAACTGCTCAATTTTTAGGGCTTTTTGGGATTCATTTTCTATTTGTTCCTTCAATAAGCTGGCACCACTACTGAGTTAACAGTTCATCTTACGTATGTTTAATGTGTGTGCCATTTCTGAAGGAAGAGAGCAGACAGCCACTAAATTTTCTTAGTGTCAATACTTTTTTAAAAATCTTTCTGCAACGTACTGGCTTTGTGGGAGCCTAGGCAGTTTGGATGCTCACCTTACTAGACCTGGATGGAGGTGGGTGGTCCTTGGACTTCCCACAGGGCAGGGAACCCTGATCGCTCTTTGGGCTGACCAGGGAGGGGGACTTGATTGGGGGAGGGGGAGGGAAATGGGAGGCGGTGGCGGGGAAGAGACAGAAATCTTTATTAAATAAATAAAAAGAAAAAAATCTGCAAAACAGGACTGAATCTCATGGGAACAGACTTTCAATTCATACTGAATACTCACCATGAAATTTATGTAGTTCATGTCATGTAAGCTGCAGTATTTATTAGAGTTGAATTTTATAGGGAAATAAAATTACTGTGGCAGCAAAATTACTATAGGGTGAATCACAGCTCTAGCTCTAGACCTTCGTTTTTATTTTTTTGATTTTTGAGACAGGGTTTCTCTGTAGTTTTTGGTGCCTGTCCTGGAACTAGCTCTTGTAGACCAGGCTGGCCTCCAACTCACAGAGATCCACCTGTCTCTGCCTTGGGATTAAAGGCGTGTGCCACCACTGCCTGGTCCTTCATTTGCTCTTAACGGTGCCAATGGTGTCCTTGGAGAGCTCTCAGGAAGACAAGAGGCACAGCTGCAGAGATGGTTCAGTAGTTAAGCATCCTTGCGGGTCTTGCAGAGGACTGACATCTGGTTCTCAGTACCCATATCAGGCAACTCCAGCTTCAGGGAATCCAATGCCCTCTTCTAGACTCTATGGTCACCTGCACTAAAACATGTGCATACTCACATACACACATATAATTAAACATAAATCTTATGGGGCTGGCATGAAGACTCAGTGGTTAAAAGCACTCCTTTCAGGGGATCTAGGGCTTGGTTTCCAGCATTTCTGCCATGGGCTCTTCAACTCCAGCTCCAGGGAAGTCAACAACCTTTTCTGGCTCCTTGGACAACTAGACATTACGGACAGACACAGAGATAAAAGCAAAAATAAAATGACTTTTCTTTTTAAGCTTTTTTGAGACAGGATTTCTTTGTATAACAGTCCTGGTTGTCCTGGGACTCCCTCTGTAGACCAGGCTGGCCTCAAACTCACTGAGATCCACCTGACTCTGTCTCCTGGGTGCTGGGATTAAAGGTGTGTGTTACCACTGCCTGGTGATAAAATAATTTTTAAAAAAGATTTATTTATTATATATAAAATATTCTGCCTGCATGTATCCCTATGTGACAGAAGAGGGCACCAGATCTCATCAGATGGTTATCAGCCAACATGTGGTTGGTGGGAATTGGACGCAGGACTTCTGGAAGAACACCCAGTGCTCTTATCCTCTGAGCCATCTTTCCAATGTCAATAATTAATCTTATGAAGAAAAAAGACAGCCCAGGATATCCCTAATAGGCCCTACTCTTTGTCCCCACAACTAGAGCCATTTCAGTGTGTTATATGAAAACTACCACAGGGCTCCTCTCACGAGCTTTCACCTTGTACCAGCTCTTTACCTGTGAATGTGAGCCACATCTAAGTAAAATTCACCTAATCAGTTCAAGTGCCTCCTTCTACCTCATCAGTTTCCACCCCCTCTAAGGTGGAACATCTTCTTTGTAAGTGGAATTGGTATTATGCACCCAGAAGAATTAAAGAGGATCACAGACAGAAAGGCTGAAGAAACAGGCTCTTTGTGTTTACTTGTACAAGGAAAAACGACATGTGGACATCTTCAGTATTTAATTTGTTTGGGTAATAGTTACAGATAAACAGGTACACACCATATACAATGACCAATACTTTTTTATACAGTTCATATTCAGTACATCAACACTATCTTATTTACACTCTATGTACATCAACATCTTCCTAAAGTCAGTGCATTGTCAACAAGTTTTATACAGAAATTTACAAGGTAAATGTAGTTAATAGTTAATTTAATAAATTTTCTGCTAGTTCTCGAGTTTAAAAAATTAATTACAACCAATATAACAAACACAGATCAAACAACATTAGTAGATTGTACTACCTGCTCAACTAAAATATCTGTAAAGAAATTATTGAAAATCTTCTACTTTTTCATGGGACTTGTCCAGGTAGGTAGGAGTGGACAATCTCATATATGAAAACTTTGAATCTATGAAGTATGTACTTTGTGTGACTTCTTTACAATATTCCTTCCAGGCCATTACTTCCTCTTCCGTATATCCTTCTGAAAGGACGTCAGCCTCGGCAGCTGCTTGCAACAGCTTTCCCAGGGCATTAAAACCAGTCTCAGCACTGGGCTCAGCTGTCAGGACACTAACTGCATCATGAGGAAGGGAGGGGAATAGGATCTGACAACAATGAGAATCAGCTTCCAGGGTCGCAAATTTTTTAAAAGACTAAAAATAAGATGAGAATTTCCTTGAACTACAAACTAAAACACAATACAGAAAAATGATGCCAGAAAAATGACATTTATACTTTTGTTCCAGTTTTGAATAATTAGGAAAAAAGTGAGTAAAGAAAAAAAAAAGCTGAGGGGCAGAAATGAAAACAACTAGAGTTTGCTTCCTAAACCCAGCAGTTTCTTTGTACAATACTTACAAACTATCAATGCTGGATATATTTCTGTTTTTAGAGCCATTAAAGTATAAGCACAATTTGTTTGCATGTGTTCTCTCTTATAAAGTGCAAAATGAGAAACAAAGAAAAAAACCCACCACTAACAGGAAACACGGCTGGCTTTTGCATACCTTCCTAGAAACACTTTGTGCAACATATGCATGGGACTATGGTGCAAACCCTGGCAGCAGCCACACCCAGCAGTGCGCCTGTGGGGACTCCTCTAGTACCCTAAAGAAGCCTTCGCAGAAGGGCCACCTGGGCTGGACCTCTCCTGGGGCCTCTGCACTGAGACTGGGTGGAAGGCACATGGTCTCAGGGATGCGTGGGTTCAGACCAACCACCACAACTTCTGCCACAGTCACTGTTCCAAACATAAACTTGACAACAACAAAAAGCAAAGAAAAAGACACAGAAAGAACAGGGAAATGGTTCAAAAAAGGAAGAACCTGTGTCTGCACTCTGAGAGTCATCTGCACTCCTGCATGACCTGGCTTTCTCCATTTGTCAATACAATGGAATGAAACTTCAGGAAAAAGGAGGTAGCAAATCATGTTGTCCCCAGACAACATTTCAACTTTTGTTTTTTTTTACTTTGATTCTAAGGAAATCCTTAGCATCCTGTTATGATTATTGGAAAACTCTATACTCACTACAAGTTTGTTCATTATCTGGACAAGCACATTAAATTCTTAATTGGTCCCAGGTGATTGGTGCCAAACCTTCTTGTTTACAGGCTAATGGTGGGATCTGCCTGAAAGTCCTCCACTGGACAGCTTGTGAGAGACTTCAAACAAAATTAGTACTATTCTTAAAGTTGACTGCTATTTTAATTAGGACTTTTTATTTTGTGCTTCAGGTCACAGGATAAAATAACTACACTTAGCCTGCTTTTCAGTGACGATTCTGCCAAATGTCACCTACAAGGCGTCACCTCCCTTCCAGCAGCCCACTTATCGGCCAAAGCAGCCGCTTTACTGTAACACACAGTACTTCTTGTAATCGGATTCAAAGTCTTCATCCATGCTGCTTGTGTCTGCCATCTTTTTGCCATCGATCTTTGGCAGAAATTGTGCACAGTCTATCCCCTGCTGCTCATAGAAAAGAATGTAGGCAGAGTCGGTGTCAATTTCATCAGGGTGAAGTTCCTAAAAGGATAAGAAAAGCCTTAATTCTTTAACAGGAAGAACAACTCTCACTAACTCTGATTGCTTGAATCAACTATGTTACACCTACACTGAAAGTGAGTCTTATATTTTCAGTATCTGTTTTGGAGAATATTCTAACTACAGGCAAATGAATGCCTAACCTTCGTCAAATAACAACAACAACAACAATAATAATAACAATAATTTATTAGGTAGGTGAGAAAGAGTTTTCTTTTGGGACACAGTCTCACACAGCCCAGACTGGCCTTAAACTCATTTCAGTGAGGAGCATGACTTTAATCTGCAGATCCTCCTGCCACTACCTCCATCAAAGGTGTAGCCACCATATCTGACAAGCACCATCAACTTCTAATAGCTCAAAAAAAAAAAAAAAACCATCAGCATTGGAGAGTTTAGGACTGTAGTATAAGCCTTTTCCAACATGTGTGCCACGCTGGGTTTGATGTTCTATGTGGGTGAGGCATGGAGAGACACACACAGAAGACAGGACATGATCAATTCAAACCTAAAAGATTGAATTTCTCATTAACCAGCACCTTTGCTTTGTTCACTATTCATATTTTCAGTTCTTCTCCAGTTTTCCTATCATATCTTTGCTTCCTTAAAACTGAACATTACTTATGTAGAGACCTTCATACAAACACATTATTTCCTACTCAGCAGAAAGGTTATTATTTCAATAACACCGCCAGAGTTTGTTGGCGTTCTGTTTCTGTCATTTAAAGATTGAGAATATTTACCTTACAGCTGCTGTCATTGTAACAGTACCACTTGCAGTTTGGGTTTTTGGCATAAGTGACATAATGGCCCCCACCCAGAATTCCTGAATGGCACTAAAGAGAGAAGAGAGTGGTGGTATGTTAGTAATTAATAGTACTTAGCCAGGGCACAGTGCTAAGATCTTAGCAGGAGAACACTGACCACTTAGGTGGTAAGGAAAAATATGTGTACAATCACCTAATTTTATTAAAAGACAAAATCTTAACAACACACATACACACTTCATGTGTGTGTGTGTGTTTAAAGACAGTGTCAGTGGGTAGTGGTGTCACACAGCTTTAATCCCAGAAGAGGCAGTTGGATCTCTGTGAGTTCAAGGCCAGTTCGAGTTTCATAACAGGCACAAAGAAACCCTGTCTCGAGAAAACAACAACAACAAAAAAATAAAGACAATGTCTTGCTATATATCCTAGGTTGACTTTAAACTCAAAATACTCTTGCTTCAAGGTCTCAAATGCTAAGATTAGAGGCACTTGCCATCAAATTTGGCCCTGTATCAGTTATTTAGAAAGCAAAATTTCCTTAGGAATACTTATTATAGCATTAATTGAACCTCTGAATCAAATTATACTTATTAAATGGCCATCTTCTAAATCATACTGTGAGCTTGGAGTCTATCCAGGAGGCCAAGCTTTCTTTGTTAACTGGACAACTGAACAAACCACTAAAAAGTTAGACTTTTTTTTTTTTTTCCTGAGACAAGGTTGCTCTGTGCAGCCCCAGCTATGTCCCAGAACTTGCTCTGTAGACCAGGATAGCCTTGAACTCAGAAGTCTGCCTGCCTCTGCATTTCAAGTGCTGGATTAAAAGCATGCACCACCAGGCCCAGCTTAAACTGTTTTTTTAAGACCCACATAATATGTCACTCACCGAAATTGCATATAGATTATAAATAGGTTTATTATGAGTATCTTCTCTTTGGTCATCAGTGCTGTCTTCTTCACTATGATTTCCAAGCTGACCATTACTATAGCCATTGCCACATGCCTCATGCTCATAAAGGAATCCATTAGCCAAAGTGCTCTCATGATCCAGAGGAGTGACCAGCTCAGGTTGGCTGCCTCCCAAAATATGTCCTCGGCTCAAGGTGTCAGCCAGTTCACATGTCTGCCCAGTCCCATTCTCTTTGCTGGCATCTAAATTCTCCTTACTACTGGACAACTTATTTTTGCTGCCAATTTGAGGCAAACGAAGCCTCCCTTTGCTCCTCCCCAAAGTCCGTGGGCTGCTGTTAGGGCTGCTGTTTTTGCTGGAGGGACAGCTGGCTCCACTTTTTCTTGAAGAAGAAGGTGAACCTATGAAAGAGACAGATAGAAAGATATTTAGGTCCAAATGCCACAAGTAAGTTAGAAGCCAAATGTTAACTGACATTAGCTTCCCAACTAAAGATAAGAATGCTGCTGAGTGGTGAGGGCTCACTTGGAAGGCAGAGGTGGGTGGATCTCTATTTTTGAGGCTAGCCTGCTGGACAGAGTGAGTTCCAGGATAGCCAAGGCTACACATAGAAACTTTGTCTTGAAAAAAAAAAGAAAGACAGAAAGAAAAAAACAAAAAGGAATGCTGACCGCCTACTCTCACTCCTTATTACTTTATTACATAGCGTATGATGGCTATTCTTGGCTGTCAATGTGACTTCATCTGGAATTATCTAAAACCCATGTGATTGAGTATACCTGGGAGGATTTTCTTAATTAAATCATTTGAAGTGGAAAGACCCATTTCTAAGTCAGATCTTTTGAGAGGTGGAAAGATAAACTCTTTTAATCTAGATTTCCAAGGTTTTGTTGCCTTTTGGTGGTGGTGCATGCCTTTAATCTCAGCATTCGGGAGGCAGAGGCAGGTGGATCTCTGTGAGTTCCAGGACAGCCTGCTCTACAAGAGCTAGTTCCAGCACAGGCTCCAAAGCTACAAAGAAACCCTTCCTCAAAATCAAACAAACAAACAAAAAAAAACAAACCCAAAAAACAGTCTTGACTCTCCCAGAACTTGCTTTGTAGAGGAGGCTGGCCTCAAACTCAAAGATCCACCTGTCTCTGCTTCCTAAGAGCTGGGATTAAAGGCATGCGCCACCACCACTACCCAGCATTTATTTGGTTTTTGTTTGTTTGTTTGTTTGTTTTGAGACAGGGTTTCTCTGTGCAGTCCTGGCTGTCCTGGAATTTGCTCTGTAGACCAGGCTCACCTAGAACTCTGAGATCTACCTGTTTCTGCTCTAGAGTGCTAGGATTAAATGCATGCCCCATTACCACTGCCTCAAAATCCTGATTGTTTGAGGTAGTAAAACCCACCTAATCTGGGCCTCACCTTCTGGTGGCAGCCTATACAAAGGACACAGAAAAAGAAAGTTTTCACTGTTTGCCTGCAGACTCTCACTCTTGATGGCAAATCCATTCATTCACTGAAATTAGAGCTTACGTCTTTGGGATCCTGGTGTATACTGAAGACCAGCTGAGACATCCAGACTAGTGAACTGAACAACTACTGATTTTTAGACCTTTCATTGGTAGACAGCCATTATTAGACTAGTTGGATCACAGCCTGTAAGTTATTCTAATAAATACCACACACACATCTAGCATGTATTCATTCTATCAGTTCTGTTACTAACAAAATAGGGAGCAATGAAAATGTATGTAGAGTATATTGTAGGAATCACAAAATCATAGAAAAGTGATTTATGTCATATTCAATTGAAAACAATGAATTTTATAAATATATTCTTAGACCGAGAGTGGTCTTGATACTCAGGAAACTCAAGTAGAAGGATTCTGTTGTGAAAAAAATCCTCTTGTACGCTGTAAAGATTTGTTACTCAAATTGATTTAATAAAAGAATGACTGGCCAGTATCCAGGAAGGAAGTATAGGCAGGGACACCAAACTGAGGATAATGGGAAGGAGGAGCGCAGAGCCTGGAGTCAACAGACAGACACAGAGGGAGCAGGAGATGAATGTGCCATGCTTATAAAGGTACCACCACATGGCATAATATAAATAATGAATATGGGTTAACTTAAAATGTATGAGCTAGTTAGTAATAAGCCTGAGCTATTGGGTGATCATTTATAATTCATATTCAACCTCTGAGTTGGTTATTTGAGAACTGGCAGGCAAGTTAGAAACATCTGATTACAGGATTTTGAGTTCAAAGCCAGCCTGGGCTACACAGTGAGTTCCAGGCCAACTTGTACCATCATAGCAAGATCCTGTTTCAAAAAGCCAAAAACAAAACAAAGAAAAACAAATTACCAAGGACCTCTAGAACATCTGTTTAGATACATTTTACCTGTATGTATTTCTCATGTTAGAAATGAAAACTGAGGCCGGTTGGTGGTGGCGCACGCCTTTAATCCCAGCATTTGGGAGGCAGAGGCAGGCGGATCTCTGTGAGTTCGAGACCAGCCTGGTCTACAAGAGCTAGTTCCAGGACAGGCTCCAAAACCACAGAGAAACCCTGTCTCAAAAAATTAAAAAAAAAAAAAAAGAAAAAAAAGAAATGAAAACTGAGGGTTAGGCTTGGTGGAACATGCCTCTAACTCCAACTGCTCAAGAGACACAAGGAGGACTGAAAGGAGGCCAGTCTGGGCAATAGTAAATTCAAGTTCAATATAGGAAACTTAGTAAGATGCTACCTCAAAATAAGTGGTAAAGCACTGTTTTGCATGTGTGAAATCCTGGGATATCTAGTAAAAGGAAGGGGGAAGACATACAAAAATCCTGAGAAATTAAGGCTACACAATACTCAACCGTCTCTTTTCTTTCTTTTTCTTTTTTTTCCAAGACAAGTTTTCACTGTAGCTTTGGAGCCTAGCTCTCCTGCCCTTGCCTTCTGAGTACTGAGATTAAAGGCATGCACCACCACCGCGTGGCCTCAACCATCTATTTCATTGGTAAAAGGTTAATCTAACTTCATGAAATTTTCCCTGACTGCACTGTATATTTTTCAGAGAACAAAAATAAAGCTCAAACACAGGGCTAGCTCTATAGTTGGTGGGAACACGGTAAAAAGAATTATATATACGTAGTGTTCTTCACCTGCGGGTCCCACAAGATCCAAATAATTACAGATCAGACTTACTAAAAAAATTACATTCGTACTGAAACATACAGATTTCTTTTTTATGATTTCATAAATACTATAATAACAGCTATTTACCTATTTCTATACATATATATTTATACGTGTGCATCTATGTGGGCATGCATACCATGGTGTTTATGTGTAGCCAGAGGACAACCTGTAGGAGGTCAGTCAGTTCCTTCCTACCATGTGAGACTAGGGACTGAACTTAAGTATCTTTATCCACTGAGCCATTTTGCTGGCTCTTATTTATATTTTTAAAGATAGAATGTATGTAACCTAGGCTGGCTTAAACTGTAGATGCAACCACTAACAATATATTACTACTGCTGGTATTTCAAATCCTCTTACCCTAACTTGGTATTCTCTCCATTTTACAAATGACAAAAGAGAATCTAGATTTAAGGAGGCTATTTTGTGCTAAAAGTCACAAAGCTGAAATACAAATTACTGTTCCAGAATGGAGGCTGCTGAAGCTACAAAGCAAGACTATGACAAGGAAGAAAGAGATGGGGAGGGAGGGAGGGAGGGAAAGCCCTTACCTTTGGGGCTACTGGCGATATTTGCACTGAGTGAAGATGGGCTCTTGCTCAGGAGCACATCCTCCTCCCCTGCTGAGTTCTGGACATCCATTTTCTTCACATCTCCTCCTGAAATCCTTAGCTCAGAGATGTCATCCCCCTGGGGTGTGAGTGGTTTATGCTGGCAAAGAGCTGGGTCTCTTGGTACTAAAAAAGCACTAGGGTCAAAACTTTCACGAGGAAATTTAACAATTTTCTGTGATTTTATCCACCGTCCATTTACAAACTGAAATCGTTTAAGGTGAATAATCTGAAGAAGAAAAGGTAGGAACAATTGCATTTAAGGGTTCTGAAGAATATGTAACATTTGTACATTGTTATAAAATCTCAAATGTAAATTTGATACTTTTTTCTTTCTTTTTCCTTTTCTCTCTTTCTTTCTTTCTTTCCTTCCTTCCTTCCTTCCTTCCTTTTTTTTTTTTTTCCCAAGACAGGTTTCTTTGCGTTGTCCTGGCTGTCTTGGACTTCACTCTATAGACTGGGCTGACTTTGAACTCAGAGATCTACCTGCACCCTCTTTAATCCCAGCACTCGGGAGGCAGAGGCAGGCAGATCTCTGTGAGTTCGAGGTCAGCCTGGTCTACAAGAGCAAGAGCCAGGTTACAGTGAAACCCTGTCTCGAGAAACCAAAAAAAAAAAAAAAAAATTCCTTCTTCCTTACCTACCAGGTTCCCAAGTCAGCCCCTGCCCGTTTCTTCCTTTCCTTCTGTTTCATTTCTGGAGTTAGCTTCATAAATGCTATCAATTTCTTGTGTACTACTATAAGCAAGGGAAGAAAAATCTACATTTCTTTGCTTCTTTTCTAGAGTAGTAGGATGATGACACAAATCAGAGTTTTGCTAAAATATCCTAGTCCCCGGGCTGGAGAAATCTTGAAGAAGATCTAGATTGGTTCCCAGTGCCTACATGATAGTTGACCTTGGTAAACCATTTTCAGAGGATTCAATGCCCGCTTCTGGCTTCGGGGCACTGCATGTACATGGTAGAGACACATATGCAATAGGCAACAACGCCCATACATAGAAAAAATATTCTAGTACTGGAGCCAGCTGTGGTGGTGCACACTTTTGATCCCAGCACTACAGAGGCAGAGAAGATAGATCTCTGTGAATTTGAGGTCAGCCTGGTCTATATAGCAAGTTTCAGGCTAGCCAGAGATACACAGTAAAACCCTGTATCAAAAGAAAAAAATCCTAGCACTTAGTTGTGGAGATGGCTTAGTCACTAAAATGTGTGTTATATAGGAATGAGGGATTAGGTTCAGATCCCCAGCATCCAGATCCCTGGGCTCACTGACCCAAGTCAGCCTAGCCAAATGGTTCATGTTTGGTGAGAGGCTATGTTTTCAAAAAATAAAGAGGCATGTTGGTGGGTAAAAGGACTTATTATAAGGCCTGACGATCTCAGTTTGATCCCTAGAACTCAAATAAAGGTGAAAAGAGACCCAACTTCACAGTTCCCTTCTGACCTCCACACTATGCTAGCTAGTTTTGACGCAAGATTAGAGTCATTTGGGAAGATACATTCTCAATTGAGAAAACTGCCAGAAAATCTGGCTATAGGCAAGCTAGTAAGCAGTATTCTTCTAGTCTCAAGAGTTCCTGCCCCGACTTCCCTGGATGATGGACTGTGATATGGAAGTATAAGCAAAATAAAATAAAATAAACCCTTTCATCACCAAGTCATGGTGTTTCATCACAGCAATAGAAACCTTATGATGTCATTTTGTACCAAGACTGGAGTATTGCTGTGACCATGTGTGCAGTCTGGCCTGGAACAAATGGTAACCCTTCTATCTCAGTCTCCCAAGCACTGATATAACAGACATGGGCCTCTATGTCTGGTGAGAAAATGCTTTCGTAATTAATGTCTTTATAAACTCTGCTGATAGGCAACCAGAGGCAGGAGAGTCAACCAAATCTGAGAGAGCACAGCTCTGTGCCCTGGTATACTTGCACCACAGCACACAGTAGTGTGCACAGCCACTCAACTCTTCACTGGGCATGGAAGCTCCTGTGGTGGCTGCTTACCTACAGCCTAAATATGGGCTAGCCTAAAACTCCCTCTTTTATGGGGCTAGAAGGACTTTCATTCTCTTTTGGAATTCCAATTCACCAGGAACAACCCATTTACAGTATTTCTCAAGCTGCACCAGTCTTCATTTACTGGCCTACATCACTTTCTCTCCTTCAAGGCTCTAAGCTCAATTATGGGATCTAGCACATATTTTTAGAATGATTAATTTCTCTGTTCAACAAAAAAACCTTACACAGAAAAGCTCATTCTTTCATTCATTCTTTCTTTTTTTGTTTTGTTTTGTTTTTGTTTTTGGAGACAGGGTTTCCCTATGTAATAGCCCTGGCTTTCCTGGAACTAGCTTTTGTAGACCAGGCTGGCCTCGAACTCACAGGGATTCACCTGCCTCTGCCTCCCGAGTGCTGGGAGCACAACCATGGCCCGGCTTTCATCCATTCTTTTTTAAAGAAGAGATTGTTTTTGATTACAAGCAAGTGTTTGTACAGGTATCTGAGGAGGCTAGAGGTGTTAGATCTCCCTGGGATTGAACACCAACTCAAGCCCACTGAACCATCTTTTCAGCTCCCAATCTCCTTTTCTCTTTTGGTTTTCCAAGACAGAGAGCGTTTCTCTATAATAGTCCTCACTGTCCTGGAACTTGCTCTGTAGACCAGGCTGGCCTCGAATTCACAGAGATCCACCTGCCTCTGCCTCCTGAGTGTTGGGATTAAAGGTATACACCACCACCGTCTGGCTCTTTTATTTTTTGAGTTGAGGTCTTACTTTGTAGTCTAGGTTGGCTTGGAACTCACTATGCTACCTAAGCTGTCCTTAAGTTTTTGGTGACCATTCTGTCTCAGCCTCCTAAATTCTGGAACTTCAGGTGTGTGCCACCAATCCAAGTACAAAAAGGATTTAAACACAGTTACGAAGTAAATTATACTCAAAACCAGCCCCCAAATCCCCTTAATGACTTCTCTCATTTACACTAGACTCCTTTCATAGAGGTAAGGCTATTAATATACCAGAATTGGAGGAAGCCTCCAGAGGTCCAGCTTCTTAGTTGCCAAACAGTGAGTTTTACATTTGGAGCAATAGTACATCTCATTTTCTCCCAGCTCCTCCTCACTGGTGAAGGCACGGAGACAGCTGTCCAGGTTGATGGGCTCAGCCTGTGCTCGCCGACTCTGCTCCACACTTTCGTGCTCCTCTACAACCTACAAGAGGAAACAGAATGAACCAGAATTGTGCAGTGGGCGTTTAAAATAAACACTAGGTATGTACCATCTTCCCAGTCACTCACTTGCTCTTATATAGTATGTATGTGTGGGTGGGAATACAACCCAAACTAAGAGTCTTTGAGCAGTACAACACACACACACACACACACACACACACACACACACACACACACAATATCATCCTAGTTTAAATGCCTATTTATACAACTAGATTTTTCCTTTAGAGAGATAGGTCTCACTTAGTTCAGGCTGGCCTTGAGCACATATACAAATACTGAGAATATCCTTGAACTTTTGAGCCCTCCTTTTTTGTTTTGTTTTTTTCTAAACAAGGTTTCTTTGTAGCTTTGGTGCCTGTCCTGGAACTAGCTCTTGTAGACCAGGCTGGCCTTGAACTCACAGAGATCGGCCTGCCTCTGCTTCCAAAGAACTGGGATTAAAGACACGCGCCACCATTGCCCAGCCTGATCCTCCTTTTTAAATGAACAGAAATCTCCCCAGAACTGAAACATTCTCTCCATGGAGCTGAAGAGATAGCTCAGCCATTAAAAGCACTGGCTCATGTTTCAGAAGAACTGGGTTCAATTTCCAGTATCCACATGATGTATAACAACTATCTGTAATTCCACGTCCAGGGGATCTCATGCCCTCTTCTGGCCTCTGCAGACATTGTACATGTGTATAGACATATATGCAGATAAAACATCCTCACACATATTCCCTCTAGGAGGTGGGCAGCAGGCTCATGAGATTCAGGAGGTAAACTTCAAATAAAGCTGAAACCTGTAAGATCTTCAACTCCAAAATCTGTATATAACCAATAAAAATTTGTCTGAGAAGACTCTGGCCAGCCAAAAGTGGATAGTCAGTAGCCAGAAGATCCTTTGGAGCCGTCATGTGGGTCCTCTGGAAAAGAGCAGCACTCTTGAATAATAGCTCTGATAAAGCTATATATAATTATAACATATATATATTATAATTCAGTACCTGGTTATCTTTTTTAGTTTTATAATAGATCCAGTTCCAGGACAGGCTTCAAAGCTACAGAGAAACCCTGTCTCAGAAGAAAAAAAAAAAAGCTAGCCTGGTCTACAAAGTGAGTTCCAGGACAACCAGGGCTGTTAAATAGAGAAACCCTGTGTGTGTGGGGGGAGGCATTAAAAAAAACCCCAACAACTTTGGGATCCAGGTAAACAGTATGATAAGCTTTGGGACAAGAAAGAGTTAAGTATGAGAATAGAGAGCAAAGGCTGGGAGTGTAAACCAGCAAGTAGTGTTTGCCTAGGGTGTTTTGAGGCTCCAGCTTCAACCTCTAGCATCATAAAGAAAAAGACCAAGCACAAACAAAAGAGAGAACATAAAGGGAGTGGGAAGGTGTGTAGGACAGAGGAGAAGGAGAGAGGGAAAGCCAAGAGAGCAATATGAAAGATTTTCTCCCCTAATCTCATACTCATGTTTATAGCCCAACAAGCAATCAATACAGCAGAGTTGAGATTTGTTTGTCTTTACCATGTATGAGAAGGTAGGAAAGGCATGTCATCAACGATATGAAGGCTATCTGAGACTTCACATATGAATAATGGTATTTTTTTTCCCAGATAAAGCCTGGACTAAAATGGCAACAATTCTTGCTTCTTCTTGCCAAAGATCCCAGTGTTCACTACCTCATTAACTACCCCTCCTCCACAGGTGAACAGCTTATTGTCACTTGAGGCAATTTCCGCGTTTCTTGAAACTCTTGGGAACACTGGACTGCTTGGATTATGAGTTGGCACATTTTAGCCCATTTCATTTACTGCAGGTTTTCAAGTGAGACCTTTTCCCTACAGAGAAGGTAGCTGAGGCATAGGCCATCAAATGAGCCAATAAACTATCAAAATTGGAGAATGAGTTCATTAGGCAATGAAGTTTTTTTTTTGTTTGTTTGTTTGTTTGTTTTTTCAAGACAGGGTTTCTCTGTAGCTTTGGAGCCTGTCATAGAACTAGCTCTTGTAGACCAGGCTGGCCTAAACTCACAGAGATTCACCTACCTCTGCCTCCTGAGTGCTGGGATTAAAGGAGTGTGCCATCACCACTTGGCTGAAGTTGTTTTTTTTTTTTGTTTTGTTTAACGAGAAAGGGTTCCCCTGTATAGCCTTGAACTAAGAGATCTGCCTGCCTCTGCCTCCTGAGTGAGCTGGGATTAAAGGTGTTCACTGCACAATCTAGCTAAAATGGAGCTTTGTTTGGGTCACTGACTCTGAAAACAAAATCGGTAATAATAACACATTAACAGTCTCTCTCAGTGTACCTGTTTCTTTGTGACAGGGCCTTGCTATGTAGTTCAGGTGGGCACTGACCACTCAGTCAGGTGATCTCACACTCCTGAGGCTCCTGTTTTAACTTCCTGAATGTTGGTACTGTGGACATGTGCCACTGATCTCAGAATCCTTTAAGCTGGTCACCTTAAGGAAATGTGAAAATGCTGAGGAAACATGTTGGCTGGATATACATACCTATAACCCTAGCACTCAGGAGACTGAGGTAGGAGGATCACTACATTAAGACCAAATTGGCTACATAGTGAGATCAGGTCTCAATAAAACAAACCAAAACAAAAACTATATCAGGTTGGGGAGATGGCTCAGTTAGTAATTTGATGGTCATGTGTTCACATGAGAACTTGAGTTCAATTCCTAAAAAACAAACACCAAAACCTGAGTGTGGTGACATGTGCCTGTAAGTTCAGGTGCCAGGAAGGCAGAAGGACAGATCCTTGGAGCTCCACAGCCAATCAGCCTAGTCTAATTGGTGAATTTCAGATCAATATAGGAGAGACTCTGTCTCAAAGCAAACAGACAAGATAAAACCAAGGTAGACAGCTACTTAGGAATCATATGCTTGGTATTCCATATTCATTGAAAACAAATTTCCTTGCTTTATTTGTTTATGTTTTGATAGTGTGTGCATGTGCCACAATATGTGTGGCAGTCAGACTTGGCTGCTAAGGGTCCTTATCTGCTGAGCCATCTCAGGGCCCTGCATCCTCAACAAAAGGAAACCATTAAGATATTGACACAGGCCTTCAATCCCAATACTTGGCAGAGGCACATAAATCTGTGAGTTCAAGGCCAGCCTTATCTACATAACCAAGACAGCTGGGATTTCATAAAGACAGCCTGTCAGGGACTGGAGAGATGGCTCAGTGGTTAAGAGCATTGCCTGTTCTCCCAAAGGTCCTGAGTTCAATTTCCAGCAACCACATGGTGGCTCACAACCATCTGTAATGAGGTCTGGTGCCCTCTTCTGGCCTGCAGGCATAAAGCAGACAGAATAATGTATATATAATAAATAAATAAACATTAAAAAAGACAGCCTGTCAAAAAAAAGAAAAGAAAACAGACAAGACAACTGACAGATTTTCTTTTCTTCCTGGCACTCTTTTAGTTTTTCAAGACGTGGTTTCTTTGTGTAGCTCTGTAGATCAGGATGGCCTTGAACTCAGAGAGACTCACCTGCCTGAGCACAGCACCCTTTCCTTTTTTTGAGACAGGATCTTACTATGTAAGATCATGATTGTGGGTTTTTTTTTTTGGTTGTTGTTGTTTTTCTGCCTTAGCCTCCACAGTGCCGGGATTATAGGCACTTGTCACCATGTCTGGTTTACATAGTGTTCGGGATCAAATCTAGTACTTTAAACATACTACACAAGCATTCTACAAACCGAGTTACATCCTCAGCCCCTATTTTGGGTATTAAAAAGCCTAGATGATCCTCAGGGTTTTGGATGTAAGTTTCAAACCTATAGCTGTTTGTCAATTGTGGTGGTGCAGATATTTAATTCCAGCACCTGTGAGACAGAAGCAGGCAGATTTCTGAGTCCAAGGCTGGTCTAGTCTTTAGAGCAGATTTCAGAACATCCAGGGCTATACAAAGAAACCCTGCCCGCCCTCCCCCCCCCCCCAAGTCAACCAATCAATCAAACAAAAATCACTTGATGTTAACAACAAAAATACCCAAAACTCCACCAATAAAACTTGGTGTCTTGGGTTAGTGAGAATGGCTCTGTAAGTAAAAGCATTGTGTCAAATCTGATGATTTCAGTTCAGTTCCCAAGATTCCCATGGTAGAAGGAGAGAACAATTCCTGAGGTTTGTCCTCTGATATTCATATGTGTGTCATGGAATGCACACAAGCATGTACACTCGAGGATGCATGAGCATGCACACACAATAAAAATTGAAAAAGTGGGACTGAAACAGGTATAGTGATGTATACTTTTAACCCCAGTACTTGGGAGGCAGAGGCAGGCAAGATTTCAGTGAATTTGGGGCCAGCCTGGTCTACAAAGCGAGTTCCAGGACAGCTAGGGCTGTCACACAGAGAAACCCTGTCTTGAAAAACCAAAACCAAAACCAAAACCAAAACCAAAACCAAACCAAACCAAACCAAACCAAACCAAACAAATAAACAAAAGAAGGGCTGGAAAAATGACTCAATAGTTTAGCACTGACTGCTCTTTCCAGAGGACATGGGTTCAATTCCCAGGACCCACACATAGCAGATTACAACTGTCTGTAACTCCAATTCTAAGGAACTTCTTTTGGACGCCATGAGTACTAGGAACACAAGTGATGCACACACATACATGTAGGCAAAACATCCATACACATAACAAAATTCAAAAAAAGGGAACACAAAGTTGAGAGAAAGATTTCTTGTAGGTCTTGAGGAGCTTGAGTTGAGGGTGGATATGATAAAAATAGTTGAGGATAGGTATGATAAAAATACGTTGTATATATGTATGAAATTACCTGCTGTGGCATAGTCTTTCTGTACGCTGTGAATGTGTTGCTTTCATTGGCTGATTAAAAAAAAAAAGCTGTTTTTGCCTATGGCAAGGCATGATAGAGCCAGGCAAGAAAGTCAAAAGGAGATACAAGGAGGAGGGTGGAGTTAAGAGTTGCCAGGAGTCACCCAAAAAACAATATGCCAGCAGACTGGTAAAAGCCACAGCCACATGGCAAAACACAGATTCTTAACTGTTGAACCATTTCTCTTGAATACTCTATAACCTTCTAAATATACTATTTTGTTCCAAGACTAATGTTTCTGAAATTAATAACCCAATACAACCGATTCTAGAAATTGTGGGGAGGAGTTAAGCACACATGCCAATACATCAAGTACCACAGGTTTTTCAGATTTAACTGTTATGATACAGTTAAACTGGGAAACATTTCCCATATAAAAACCACAACTTTATGCCCACCCCCACCCCCAGCACTCACTCTTTCCTGTGATGTTTGATAGCGGAGATGAAGGGCTGTAGGGTCCCAATCCACAGCAATACAGGCATTTCCAATGAAAGCTCTATCTTCTCCACAATCAATTTTACAGCCTCTGCAAAATCTAAAAGGGGAAAGCATTCACAGAGAAAAACAGTAAGGAACCAAAATTTTCTCAATTAGAAATACTCTTTAATATTTCTCCTGGCCTCATAATTTGTCTCTAACTTCAGAACCTGATAAATGCAGTAACAAAAGTTAATATCAGGAATCATGTTTATAACTTCAACTTTTTGTTCTTAAAAATGACTTAACAGTTGCTAATATACGAAAGATACAAATTTCTTGGCAAATAAAACGATATAGAAACCAGCTGCTATTTGATGTAAACTGATGAAAGAAATTATAAATTCATTTCTACAATGCTGTAAGTTTATCTCTTTGTAAAATAGCACCTTAAGTGTATACAAATTTATGGAGGCAGGTGCAAGGGAAAGACACAGTCATGACTCTAATACCTATTAGACTTCATTTGCCATCATGTCTCTCACAGTTTCCTAAAAGCTGACTGCAGTACCATCAGATACTATCCCTCCTGTAATAGCAATGACTTATCAAACTCTTGTAAAACTTCAGGAAAGATTACCAGACTACCAGCAAGGTTAGTACCAGATTTGTTCTCCTATCTCAGAAAGAACATTTGGACTAATAATAGCCATGTGTGCATGACAGTAGTCACAGTACTCGGGGGCTGAAGAGGGTCACGTGAGTCCTGGAGTTTGAGAGCAGCCTGAGCAACACAGTAAGACTCCATTTAAAAAGGACCAAAGAGGGGCTGGAGAGATGGCTCAACAGATGAGAGCACTGGCTGCTCTCCCAGAAGACCCAGGTACAATCCCAAGAACCTACATGGCAGCTAGATCACAACTCTCTATGACTCCAGTTCCAGGGGATCTGGCACCCTCACATGTACATGAAATAAAAACTAAAACAAGGATAAAAAAAAGAGAAAATTTAGAATAAAAATGTTTATCCTTGGTTATTAATTTGGGATAGAGTGAAATCTGTAAAATCACACATTTGGAAAGCAAATTTATAGTTTGAAGTTTACAAAGAAGAGATGGACAATTCACAAGTTTATCTCAATCTTCTCATTGTTCACAATTACATTCTAAATAGAGAAATCTTATAAAAAAAGTACTATGTTTGAAATTGAGCCTACTGAGACTGGTTTTATAGAAGACAATTTTACCTATACCATGGGCACCAGGCACAGGAATTTCCATCTTTCTGAACAACTCGGAGGGTGAATGGATATTGATAGCCCATGCTGTCATCACTGGAAGAAGAAAACACACAAAGTCTAAGAAGCACGTCTGGTTTGAGAGCTCTTAAGGTTCACTTTCCACAGCAGTGTGCCCATGTTACAGCCTTGAACCAGCCAGGCTGGACCACGTGAATCTGGTCACAAGATGGAGTATAAACTAGACTGCCACAGGTCTTCTTTTTACTTCAATTTTTTTCCCCTTTTTTTGAAACAGAGTCACATGTAGCCTAGGCTGGTCTCACACTCACAATGCGGCTGAGGATGACCTTGAACTTGTGGTCCTCCTGCACACACCTCACCAGTGCTGAGATTACAGGTGTGTACCTCCACACCTGGTTTAGGTAATACTGTGGCATCAATCCTGGGTCTTTCGTAGGCTAGGCAAGCACTTTCCCAGCTGAGTTACAACCTCAACCCACCCATTTATAATCAAGATTTTTTTTTTTTTTTGTTTCGAAACAAGATTTTCTCCATGTAGTCCAGCTGTCCTGGGACTTACTGCCTGCTTAGATTTCCAGGTGTAATGGTACCCCTTTTCACACCTTAACTTCTTAGAACTACGCCAGCTTAGATTTCCAGGTATAGTACCCCTTTTCGTATCTTGACTTCTTAGAACTATACATTACCTTTAAAATTAACTTTATAAAGCTGAGAACAATTGTGCGTGTTTTTTAAAGATTATTTATTATGTATACAATGTTCTGCTTGTATGTATGCCTGCACTCCAGAAGAGGGCACTAGATCTCAGTATAGATGATTGTGAGTCACCATGGAGTTGCTGGGAAATGAACTCAGGATCTCAGGAAGAGCAGCCAGTACTCTTAAACTATGAGCCATCTCACCAGCCCTCAATTGTGCTTTTTGAGTTCTCCAAAGTTTAACAAAATCTATTAATCTTTGCCTAAATAACAAGGTAACAACTCATATTCATCAAGATATCAAGCTGTATATATACACAACTCATGGGCTATAGGTACAGCTCTGAAGTGGAGGTATTTAAGAAATACAAGACCCCCTAAAAAAACTCCAATAAAACAATTCCACCAGATTCTTGTTAATTATAATCATATGAAGCTGGAGGGGGGCAGGAGCAATGCAAGGGGCATATACTTAAAAGTATATTTGCCACATGGCTGGTAAAATTCTGGTTTCTTAGTCCTGGAACTCACTCTGTAGGCCAGGCTGGCTTTGAACTCACAAAGATCTGTCTGTCTCAACTGGGATTAAAGGTGTGTGCCACCACCACCCAACATGGCTGCTAAAGGTAAGTAATCCATGCAAAGCCACACTACAAAGACAAAAGTAAGCATTTGTCTGGCATAGGAGCTCTCGATCTATCTTTACAACCCAAATGATTACTGATGGGCCTTATTGTCCACTGGCATGTTCATAGCAAGTGAACAGCAACCAGAGCATCCAAAGAAAGGGACAGATAATAATCAATCAGCACCTAACGGAATGGAGCTAAACATAACCCCATCCTTCCTTGTTACAGCCGAACACACAGTTTTCCAGTACTTAGAGATTAAACCTAGATCCATTTTCTGGAATATGACATGCTCTACACCTTATACCCTGGACCTCTGCCCTGATAACATGTTCTTCAAAATAATTTTGAAATGTTCATCCAAATATCTACATAACCAAAATTCCTCTGGAAAGCCCCCAACCCTTGAAAACTCCCCTAGCCTTGCATTTTTTGGGGTTAAAATAAACCCCCACCTTCTCCTGTGTTAGAGGCTATTTTCTCTAGCCACACTTTAGGGAGATAGCCCTGCAAGACAGAAAATAAAGCTTGCATAATTTAACTAAAAAAATTTGGGTCGGGCTGGAGAGATGGCTCAGTGGTTAAGGGTGCTAACTGCTCTTCCAGAAGTCCTGAGTTCAATTCCCAGAAACTACATGGTGGCTCACAACCAACTATGAGATCTGGTGCCCTCTTCTGGCCTGCAGGCAGGATACTGTATAAATAAATAAATCTTAAAAAAAGAAAAAAAATTTGGGTCAGTGGTTCTTACTCTCGTTCAGTGGGATTAATACATTGGGCAGTGTTCACTCCTCTTCTTATTCAGTCTGTCTGATTTTAAACAATCCTTTCCTTTTGCTTTTTTTTTAAAAAATTACATTTATTTTTTTTTTAAATTTCATTTTACATTCCAACCAGTTTCCCCTACCCTTCCTTCCAAACCTCCTGGTCATTTTCTTTTGATTAACCATTCATTCCTTTGTTTGTTTGTGACAGGGTTTCTCTGTGTAGTCTTGGTTTTCCTGAAACTCATTCTGTAGACCAGGAAATTCACAGAGATCCTTTTGCCTTTGCTTCCCAAGTGCTGGCATTAAAGGTGTGTGATCATTCAGTCTTAATTGGTCAGACATTACTTGCTGTTTCTTTTCCTTCCTTTCTGAAGCTCTGATGTTGAAATGCATTAGGAATTATGTCTTGGACATTTTTTTATCTAACATTTACTCTCTTAAGTAACAGCCCCTCACCTTAGGACTTTAAATATCTATTTGTTGGTGACACCTGCATCTCCAGCAAAGGACATTCAAATCCACGTCCCACAAACACAACAGGTGTCTTGAATTTAACTTGATTCCTGTAATTCTTACCAAAACCTGTTCCTTCTTGAGTTTCTCATTTCACAAAAGAATATGATCATTCACAAACCACCGCTCATATTGGAAACCTATCCTTTTTTCTCAAAATCTATACCCAGTTCAGCAGCAAATCCAGGGGAAAGTTCTTACTCAGCAGTCCTTTAATTTAAATTTAATACTACCCAAATATCACTTCTACTAAAACCACACGTCCATTAGCTAATTTGCTTATAAATTATTTACAGGTTTAAGACTTACTCTAACCTCTTAATCATCAAAAGACCCTCTAACATAAGGAACGTAACTTTTTTTTACTCTGTTATCACAGAAGTTACTTTTCATTGCCACAATAGCAAGAAAATGAGCTGCAAGTCAACTGCTATAGAAGACAGAAAATCTCAAGGATCATTTAGATGATCACAGAACAGTAGAAGGCATGCAAAGAAAACAGAAAAAAATGTTTGCTAACTCTACCTAGGTTTTTGAAATTACTTCCTTTTGAGAAGGCACAGTATGCACACAATCCAACTGAACTGTTATGCATGAGTCTTTTTCAGAGTTCATATCTAGATATGTACACTTACACTTCCATTCTTAATTTCAGAGGACTGAGATGATAAAAATTTTCTGGTAAAATCATACTTTTGATTTTTGCAACAAGAGAAGACAAAGGCATTACTTAAAGCATTTTTAGGTGGGATTTGGGCAAGAGTAAAGAATGAAAAAAAAATAAAGGTGGCAGTGGTGCACAGTTTTAATCCAAGCACTTGGGAGGCAGAGGCAGGCCCTCTGTGAGTTTGAAGCCAGCCTGGGCTACAGAGTGAGTTCCAGTACAGTCAGGACTACACAGAGAAACTCTGTCTCAAAAAACAAACAAACAAATGTTTAAAAAAATCATTAGAGGGACTGGAGAGATGGCTCAGTGGTTAAGAGCATTGCCTGTTCTTCCAAAGGTCCTGAGTTCAATTACCGGCAACCACATGGTGGCTCAGAACCATCTGTAATGAGGTCTGGTGCCCTCTTCTGGCCTGCAGACATATACACAGACAGAATATAGATAGAAAGAGAAAGAAAGAGACAGACAGACAGACAGACAGACAGACAGAAAGACAGACAGACAGACAGACAGAAAGACAGAAAATGACTCCCCCCCCCCAAAAAAAAACCACATTAGATACCAGGATAGTTCGTTGGTATATAAAATAGTTCTTCTATATTACATATTCATAGGAGTTATTAACAGGACTTGGCTTATACTCAAAACCTACCAATCCTGTGCATGGTTACTAGCTTCTTGAGGTGGGAGAGGGCTGGCCAATCGAGATACTTGAATCCAAACTGCATCATAGAGATCTTTTTTCCGGGTATGCACAGTACAAGGAACAATCAGTGGCATTCCAAAGAGACTGGGGCGATTCTTCTGAGATGACAGGAAATACAATTCTGTCCTCATCTATATGTACAAACAAGAGAAGAGGGCTGCCAATTAACATGCATAATATTCATTTTCAAATTAGTTACTACCATCTATTTAGCTCCTCTTTGTGCTTTTTATTTTCCAAATGCCAGAATTGGTTTATAAAGTCATATACACACAAGAATGCACACACGCTGGGGAGACAACGCCCTTTTTGGGTACCCCATGCACACGGTGCAAAGAATACATATAGGCAAAATACCATACATAAAATAAAATGGAAAAAGTTAGAAAAAGAATGCATACACATAGTTAGCTTTTTGGAGGGGGTTGAGACAGGGTTTCTCTGTAGCTTTGGGGGCTGTCCTGGAACTTGCTCTATAGGTCAGGCTGGCCTCAAACTCACAGATATCTGCCTGTCTCTGTCTACCAAGTGCTGGGATTAAGGTTTGTGCCACCAATGCCTGACAGATTTAGCATTTTTATTGGGATTGTGCATCAAACATCTGAGTAACTTTGCAGAGAATTGACATCTTTTTTTTTTTTTTTTTTGGTTTTTCGAGACAGGGTTTCTCTGTGGCTTTGGAGCCTGTCCTGGAACTCGCTCTGTAGACCAGGCTGGTCTCAAACTCACAGAGATCCGCCTGCCTCTGCCTCCCGGGTGCTGGGATTAAAGAGAATTGACATCTTTAAATATTCTCTTTTCATCCAAGAACTTGATCTATTATTTCATCTTTTTATTTATTGAGTGATTTAAACTTATTTTTATTGGTGTTTTGCCTGCATAAATGTCTGTAAGGATGTCAAATTCCCTGCAACTGAAGTTACAGACAGTTGTGAACTGCTGTGTGGGTGCTGGGAATTGAATCTGGATTCTCTGGAAGAGCAGCCAGTGCTCTTAACCTCTGACTCATCTCTCCAGCCCCTAGCTTTTTATTTTTAATTACTATTGTATGTGTACATACTTGTGTGGGGGTGTGTCATGGTATACGTGGGTGTGCATGGAGGTTAGGACAACTCTGTAGAACTGGATCTGTCCTTTTACTTTTATTACTTAACATTTGAGTTTTGTGTGTGTGTGTGTGTGTGTGTGTGTGTGCGTGCGTGCATGCACACACCACATAAGTGCAGGTGACCAGAGGCCAAAGGTGTCAGATCTCCTAGAGTAGGAGCTATAAGCAGTTGCACACTGTCTGGCATGGGTATTGGAAATTGAACTCAGGTCCTGGAAGAGCAATATACACTCTTAACCACTAATCATCTCTTCAGCTCTCCACTTCCATGACTTTAAAATTTTTTTTAATGTATATTTATCTATGTGAGTTTCTGCACATGAGAACGGGTGCCTCTTGGAGTCCCAAGAGGGCATGGGATACCTTGAAGCTTAAGTTATAGGTGCCTGTTAGCCACCTTGTATGCTAGGAAATAAACTCAGGTCCTCTGCAGGAACAAAATGTACTCTTTTTCTCTTCCCTTCTATTTCTTGAATGATGTGGGAGTGATTTCTTATTAATAAAGAAACTGCCTTGGCCCATTTTATTGGTTAGAACATAGGTAGGTGGAGTAAACAGAACAGGATGCTGGGAAAAAGAAGCTTAGTCAAGGAGTCTCCATGATTCTCCAGCTCCAGAGAGACGCAGGTTAAGATCCTCCCTGGTAAGCCAGCTCGTGGGCTACACAGAATATTAGAAATGGGTTAGAACAATATGTAAGAGCTAGCCAATAAGAGGCTACAGTAATGGGCCAGGCAGTGTTTGAAAGAATACAGTTTCCGTGTAATTATTTCTGGACATAAGCTAGCCATGCGGGCGGGCGGCCCCGCTGCTCCTAATTCAACACTTGAACCTCACAGAGTGATGAGAAGGTACAAGCCTTGCCTCTGGGTTGTCTGCCCTCTTCCTGTCAAATGAACATACATTCTAGCAATCAATGGGAGTTGAGACTAGGTTCTTCCAAGAGGGAAATATCTACCATTGTTGGTGGGGAATGTAGTCCCCACTGGTCACCTAGAGGACTGGGCCCCACTAGGATGTATTCTAGCAGTCCAAGGAAGCTTGGCCTATTCCAACCCACTCTCCAGGGATAACAAGACCTCACCTCACCTCAGAATCTCTGGAAGAGCAGCAGTGCTCTTAACCCCCGAGTCATCTCTCTAGCCCCCAAAATGTGCTCTTTTTAAAAAAAAAATTTTATTTATTTATTATGTATACAATATTCTGTCTGTGTGTATGTCTGCAGGCCAGAAAAGGGCACCAGACCTCATTACAGATGGTTTTGAGCCACCATGTGGTTGCCGGGAATTGAACTCAGGACCTTTGGAAGAGCAGGCAATGCTCTTAACCACTGAGCCATCTCTCCAGCCCCAAAATGTGCTCTTAACAGCCTTGTCAAAAGTGGAAAGATCCGTCCTTTCCACTTTCTGTGGTTCTGAGATGAACTAGGTCACTTGGCTTGCATGGCAAGCACCTTCATTCACTGAACCATCTGACTGATCCTATGATTTTAAGTTGTTTAACTTCATTTATCCATTAATTAATTAGTATGGGTATTTTGTCTGCATGTATGTGTGTGCACCACATGTGGGCCTGGTGACTGTAGAGGTCAGACAGGGTATCAGATCCTTTGAGATTAGAATTGCAGGCAGTTGTGACCTACCATGGGGATGGTATGAATCAAACTCAGGTTCTCTTGAAGAGCAGTCAGTTCTTTTAACTAGAGTCACCTCTCCATCCAGCCCCCACCTTTTTGTTTTGTTTTTCAAGACAGGGTTTCTCTGTGTAGCCCTAGTTGGTTCTGGAAATTGCTCTGTAGATCAAGCAGGCCTCCTCCAGTTTTGTTTGCTCCTGCCTCCCTTTTGTCAGGATTAAAGGTGTGCACCACTACCATCTAACTTTGGCCCCTTTGTTCTTAAAAATTCAAAAATACTATATCATGGTATTTTGCCTACAGGTATGTTTGGGTACCACATCTGTGCCTGGTACCAGAAGATGGGGTCGCATATCCTAGATCTGAATGGTTATGAATCGTCTGTGGGTGCTGTGAATTAAACCTGGGTCTTCTGCAAGAGTGGCAGGTAGTCTTAATCACTGAGCAATTTCTCCAGTGCTAATATTTTTGTTTTTAAAAAAACAACCAAACTCCCAATAGTATTGTTTTCTATATAGATGCTTCTTCTATGATTTCTAAAGCTTATTTGTATTGAAAAGAGTTTTTGAATACACAATTTAAAAAATGTGGTGGATTAAAGTATTTATAGAGGTGACTAGGGCACACCTGCCACCAAGACCTGTTTATGTCTAAATTCTATAACTGGTAAATTCAATCTTACAGGGCAGAGCTTTTGCTAATGTAATTGAGAGTCTTCCTGCCTCCCTAAATTCTTTCACTCATTTTTAAGAAAGAGTTCATATGATTTTTACTTGTGTGTATATGTATGCCACATATATTCAGTTACCAGTAGAAGCCAGGTACTGAATACCCTGCAGCTGGATTTAGAAGAGGTTGTGAGCCACTGACATGGGTGCTAATAACAAACTCTGGTCTTCTGGAAGAGCAGCAAACACGGTTTAACTGCTGATTAAATCATCTCTCCAGCCCCAAGACGGAGGTCTTTAATATGAAATCACATGACATAAGAAACCAAGTGGAAAGAATCTTTGTAAGAGAAAGGGAGAGACAGAAGGGAAAGTTCAGATGAACAGGCAGGAAATGCAGTTATGTAGGCACAAGCTAAGGGATTCTCAGACCAGAAGGGAAAGGAGCTGAGAGAGAGTTCCCTAGAGTCCTCCTTTGAAGGGACAACTCTGTTGGTATCTTAAGTTCGGACTTTTGGTTTCTAGACTATAAAGGAATTTCTGTTAAGTCACAGTTTATTATAATTTGTTACAGAAGTCCTTGGAAATTAAAATAGTACCTTACCTATAATTACATTTTCTCTTGTTCTAGAATTAATCAATGTACTTATTTTGTTAAACACACTAATTTGTTTCTTCACAAAGCTCATTTCTTTTTACTTTCTCTTCCTTTCTGATTTCCCTTCAAACTTCTTTTACAATAATAATTTATTTTATGTTCATTGGTGTTTTGTCTGCATATAGGTCTATATGAGGGTAAGTTCCCTGGAACAGAGTTATAGACAGTTTTGAATTGCCATGTGGAAGCAGGGAATAGAACCTTGGTTCTCTGGAAGATCAACCAGTGCTTTTAACTGCTGAGCAATTCTCTCCAGCTCCTGTCGGTTCTTTTTTTTTTTTTTTTTTTGGAAACAGGGTCTTACTATGTAGACCTGGAACTCAAGCTCATCCTGTTTCAGCAACTTAAGTGTTAAGATTACAACTAGGTACTGATGACTTTTATTTTCTTCTTATATGAGCAGGGTAGTACTTTTTAGCCAACAAACATAATAAATGAATATTTGAGAGCCTGGGGTGATTATTTGATTATTTCTCTTCTTCTTTCTCCTCCACCCCACTCGGTGCTAGAGATTAAACCCTGGACTAGTTCTTTTTCACTCTAGGCAAATACTCTATGACTAAACAATACCCCTAGACCCTGAGTGAATTATGAACAGTGGCAGGGATAACTAGTGGCTCTAAGAAATTACCTATCACCCAGCGGTGGTGGTACATGCCTTTAATCCCAGCACTAAGATTTCAGCTAGTTTGATTGAGACCAGCCTGGTCTACAAAGTGAGTTCCAGAACAGCCAGGGAAAAGGAAAAAAAGAAAATGAAAGAAAAAAAAAAAAAAGAAACGCCAAAAAACCAAACCAAAAACCAAAAATAGAAATTGTNAACTAGCTCTTGTAGACCAGGCTGGTCTCGAATTCACAGAGATCTGCCTGCCTCTGCCTCCCCGAGTGCTGGGATTAAAGGCGTGCGCCACCACCGCCCGGCCTATTTTTATTTTTTTGAGACAAAGTCTCTAGTCATGGCTGGTCTGAAATGTGCCATGTAGACCAGGCTGGTCTCAAACTCAACAACAGATATCTACGTGCCTCTGCCTCCCGAGTACTGGATTTAAATGCATGCACCAGTCCAATTCTTTTGTTTTATAAAATGATAACAAAGCTCAAAGGGCTCAAATGGCTACTTAGTAGCAGGATTAGAACCACAATACAGGTTGTTCAATTGCTAGCCTAACTGTTCATTCTCCTTTTCTGAGTACCCACTATGCCCCAATCACTTACTGATCTGTTTTCAAATTTTTTCCTTTTTTTTTCATATGTGTGTGAGTGCATGTGCAGGCCCAAGGTTGATGTTGTAAAATCATCTTTGATCACTCTTTTTCTGTTTGTATTTTTTGAAGCAGGGTTTCTCTATGTAGCTTTGGCTATCCTCTAACTAGCTCTGTAGACCTGCCTGTCTCTGTCTCTCAAATGCTGGGATTTAAAGGCATGCACCACCATACCCAATATCCTTGATCATTCTTAAACCTGTTCACTGAGGCAGGTTCTCTTAATTAAATCTGGAATTTGCAATACAGTTAGTCTTGCTAGCCAGTTTGCCCTGGGGATTTCCTGTCTCTGTCTTTTGAGCTGAAATGTTGCGCTTGACCAGCTGGCGAAGACCCCCCACCTGGCATTTACACAGGTTCTGGGAATCCAAAGTCCAACTTGTCCTCATGCTTGCAAGTTCTGTAACTTCCAAGTCATCTCCTTAACCTCCTTCTTCCACACCTTATTTTTATTTTATTTTACGTGTATGTATGTTTTTCCTGCATGTATATATGTGTGTCACATGCATGCAATACCCATGGAGGCCAGAAGAGGACACTGGGTCTCCTGGAACTAGAGTTAAAATAGGTCATGAACTGCCAGTACTCTTAACCAATGAATCATCTCTCCAGTCCCGCTCCTATTTTTTTTTTAATTAGGAAAAAATTAAAAAACCTTCAATGGAAAGAGCTAGTTTAGCAAGGGAGGAATTACAAAAACTTTGTCAAAGAAGATTCTTGTGTCCTCCAGAAAAACATACAATGACAATATTTCAGGCTCTCCAGTGCTGGGATTACAGGTGTGCAACACCCGCCTATCATTCTGTTCCTCTTAACATTCGGTAAGGAATGTCATTTTATATAACGGCAGACATATCCTGGTTCTAACACATAAGCATATATGATATAATTGAGAGTACATTTAAGAAAGATGTGGAAAAGACAAAATGGCTGCATTTCACCAATGACAGCTGGCAGGACCAATAGTAATTTGCCCAACATTTAACTAACCATTTTTCGATGAACTGCAATGATGTAGCCTGTAATGGGATCATCAGAAAGAGGTGGCATATGACCATTGAGCATTCCATTTGTGACGTTCTTCTCAGTTCCACATGGCACAACTGTATTTGGCATTCCATTGGGGATGAATATAGGTCGAGGCAGATCCCCATTGGTAGTCAGGGTGAATAGTCCATTTGTAGATGGAGAAGAGGAGCAATCTATAAATTCAGAGATGTGCACATATCATAACCTTGTATCACCATCACTTTGTTCTTTTCTCAAGTTTTATGAGTGTTTTGAACACTTGACAGTGCAGACTTTCCCAATTCAGGACAGGGATAACTCACAGACCAAGAAACAATTCTAAATTTATTGGTAAATTTAAAGTCTAGAATTTAGTTCTGTAACTCATAACTAAAGGATAAGGGAGAGAATCGTGGTAACTATTACGTAGTGCTTCTGCAGCAGCTCCATGAGTATCACCAGGTACACAAATGTCTCTACCATTCATTTTCCTCTCCTCTAAAATTATTTCAAAATAGTCTATTCAATGTGACCTTAAGCCAGTTGTTAATTTTTAAATGAAAACAAAGATAAAAATGCACCCTTAGTGACTAAGGCTTAGTCTAAATAGCTATATTTCAAGAGATCAATAGCCCATGCTAGTGATAGATACTGTACTGGAGTACAGAGATGCTAGTTTCCATCAATGCAAAGTCCCACCAAATAGTGACATTCTAAATAAAGAACACGAGATCATCTACTAACTCATGATCAGCATAACTATTACATGCAGTTAGGAGCTTCACTTCCTATGAAGTCCGTTATAGGAGGAGAATTAACCTAGTAGTAATTTGTCAAGGAAGAATCCCTGGGAATAATGGCTTACACTTGTACTTGCAGCACTTGGAAGCCAGAGATAGGAGGATCGTGAGTTCGAGGATGTCTAAGATTAAACAGTGAGATCACGTCAATTCTGAGATACACAGTGCAAAACTGTGTCAAAACCCAAAGGCTATGTTGTATATCATTTTTCCTCCCAACTGAAATATTTTCCCAAGAGGAAAGGGGGAGGCTCAAGAGATCAGGCAACCAGCAAAATGCCACATGTCTGACAAAGTGGAAAATTGCAAGATTCTTGAAGGCCTCTGTCTTATAGAAAAAGTGAATAAGTGTGAGGAAGGAGACTGAGAACAGCTAGCTAAACTGGTAGGTAGAGATTTCTTAGACTGTGGGAGCTGCCTCAAGCTGTGCAGAGTGCTCCAGGGATACAGATTTCTTGATGATGCAACAGCTTTTTTGAATCATCTCTGCTCCTGTTAGTAATCCCTCTCCTATACTGCTGTTAGTAATCCCTCACCTAACTCTGTTAGTAGCTCTAATACAAACTCATTGGTTCACCAAATTGGACTTTGGTGCAGTCATTACTTTTAATCTCATGGTTTTACTTTTTGGGGTTAGTAGACATGTGTATGTGGCAACTCCTCAGGAAAATACTCTTATGCAACATGCTATGAGAAGTATAAGTATAGCAGCGTCCTAGCGTGTCTAAGATCTTAGATTAGATACTTAGCACCTCACTAAAAGAACAAAGTATATGAAGCCCAAAAGACTAAGTGTCCAACCATATTAAAGCCTGTGTGATAACCAGACACATTCCTATTTACTAAAATTATTGTGTCTATTTTCTGGTTGTTGAAAAGGCCTAACTTAACATCAGTGCAGCCATGACAGGCTAAAAACTAACAATACTGACAATAGGCCTCAGCAATATAATAACCAGGAAAGCCACAGAGCAGAATTGAGGGAATTGAGACAAGTACTAGATGCTCCAGAACATTAGGAATAGCTTACCTAACTTGTACATAGGTTGCTAATTTCCTTATAGCAACACCAGTACCAATCCCTGTTTGATAAGACTTGTCACCTCACTCAGGAGTTCAACCCCCATCTGAATCCGGAATTCCCTTCCCCCTCCCCATCCTTTACCCCTTAAAAACCTTGCCATAGCTGAGCTCAGTGCTCTCCCTGATTCAGCCGCTGTGTTGGAGAGGATGGAGAGCCCAGGCTCAAGCTTGAAATTAACAGCTCTTTCTTTTTGCATATGAACTCAGATTCCTGGTGGTTTCTGGGAAACTCATAACATGTAGTATGTTCTTTTTATACTGTCTTACCATTATGAAAAGATAAGGGGTTATGAATGTTAATGGTATGTTTATGAGCTAAGAATTACTTAGCTTGTTTATTTACTGGTTCTGAATTTTAGGTACCTCATCAAGAAAAATCGGAGTTAAATGATTATTAGAATTCTTACAAAAATCTCCAGTCAAAGATTTCTGCTAGGCTCAAAGAATTTTTTAGGGGACAGGGGAGGAAGGAAGGGGAGAGGAGAAAAAGGTATAGCACAATAAAAAAAAGAAATTCTTTTTAGTATAACAAAAAAGCTCCAGTCAAAAGGTTTCTGTTGTGATTTTAGTCTCAGCACTCAGATCTCTGTGATTCAAATTCAGCCTGGTCTACAAAGACAATTCCAGGACAGTCAGGGCTTCTTTGTGTAGCCCTGAGTGTCTCAGAAAACAAAACAAACTATATATATAAAAACCTCTTAGATCAAATCTTATTACATTTATGTGTGTGTACACATATGTGTGTGCAAGCACATGTTTCAGCATGCATGTGGAAGTCAGAACAATTTGCAGGAGTCAGTTCTCTCCTTCCACCATGTCAGGTCATCAGGCTTAGATCATTGCAAGTCCCTTTATCAAGCTGAGCTATTCTGATGGCCCTACACCAAAATTGAACACTGAGATCCCGAGGAGGTGGTCTAGGTTACCTGTTTGTATTGGACTACACGCTGAGACTGGAGATGCAAGAATGGGAATTTCAAATGCACACAAAAATCCACTCACTGAGAGTCGAACTTTTTGGTTGTCCTGAGGGAAGTTCTACAAAAAGAATAAAGAAAAAACAGGTTTTAAATAAAATAGAAAAATTATCTGTGATGTAGAGAAATTTTATTTTTTATTTATTTTATTTTTTTAAGACAAGGTTTCACTAGGTGGTTCTGTCTGGCTGTCTGGGAACTCTCATTGTAGACCAAGCTGACCTTGAGCACACAGAGATCTGCCTGCTTCTACCTCAGCTGGGATTAAAGGTGTACCACCACCACCACAGTAAAACAATCTTCCTTGACCAACTAAAGATGAATGCTGGATAAACTTACAATTCACCCCCCTGCTAAAGAAAACCCTTATCCTTGTCCATGGAAAGGACATATGCTGTGAGTGACTGCGAATTTTACATTCTGTCTCAACTATCCAAACTGTAAACCCCAACAGATTTCTTTACATTTTATATAAGAAAAAAAAATCAATGCGGCCTGGGTGTGATGGCTCACACTTTCCAGAAAAGAGCCAGGCTACACAGAGAAACAACAATAACAAAAATGTTAACCTGGATGGGCTTTGTTCAGAAGGCGGGAATCAGTAATCACAGATGATTAGAGGGATGAGGTATTAGGATGGTGGTTTCTCCTTCTCTCTCTCACTCTTTTTTTTAAAAATTATTTATTTAACTTTATTTTATGTGCATTGGTATGAAGGTGTTAGATCTCCTGGAACCAATATCAATAAAAAATTAAAAAAAAAATGCCGAGACCCCCTCCCATCTCTAAATGGGTCACAGTGTTGGATAAATGTATGTAGGCTTGGGAGAGGGAGGAATAAGAATATAGACAGTTGTCTAGATTATGTATATTATTGTGTTTTCTTTAATTTTTCTTTTTTCGAGACAGGGCTTCTCTGTAGCTTTGGAGCCTGTATTGGAATTAGCTCTTGTAGACCAGGCTGGCCTTGAACTCACAGAGATCCTGCCTCTGCTTCCTGAGTGCTGGATTAAAAGTGCCCCGGCCCCTTCTTTAAATTTGTTGACTGTGAAGGAGCTAAGTACAAAGAGACATTTAATTGTATAGGCTGCTAAGCTAAACCAACGTAAAGGTATCTTGACTTTAAATTTGCGTCTAAGGATATGTTGCTTTGGAAAAGAGCTTCTTTTTTTGTTTCCACAGAGAATCAGAACCTGTGGATTATTTCCAGACTATCTTTAAATTTGTTGACTGTGAAGGAGCTAAGAACAGACATTTCATTGTATGGGCTGCTAAGCTATATGAGCCTGTATATTATGAAGGTATCTTGACTTTAGAATTTGCGTATAAGGATATGTTGCTTTGGAAAAGAGCTTCTTTTTTTGTTTCCACAGAGAATCAGAACCTGTGGATTATTTCCAGACTAATATGGTTTGATGGACCAAGCCCCCCTGAAAGGTCACCTTGAACACCACTCAAAAAATTACTTCGCCCAATAAACAGCAAGAAGCAGTTTGGAGAAAACTGTGCACATATTCCCAAATATTGTTTATAAATATTTGTTTACATTTAGAGGGAGATATGATATACATATGAATAATTTGCATTGGTAAAGATCTTGGTTTATTGTTACAAATTTAAGGTCAATTTTGCTATACTGTATATATATATTTCTGCTCTTGATTAAGGTATTATGACTGTGTAGCTCATTAATGTAATATATAATTAAGAAGTATAGGTAAATAGAGAGTCATCTATAATAGTCAAGTTTGTAGTCATGTTAGATTTTCTAGGTGGACAGATATGTATTTCAGATGGATAGGCATTCTTCAAACCTTTCAAAGACTATAGAATATGGCATTTAAAATGTTTAAACTTTGGACTTTTCATGATATGAGGCACATCTCCTGGCAGCACCAATTACTTCAAGAGGATGATGGTCATTGAAGAGGCTCCCTATGGAGTTTGTTAGCCACTTGGGCAAGAAACTGCTCTTGCCTAGACTGCTTGATGGTATGCTGTGTGAACTGGATATGCAGGACCCACAGAGAAATGACTGTTCAACTTGCCTAAAGGTGAGACTGTCCTTTAGGGTTCCTGCTTCATGAAAGAGACTGTCAGACATTCTGCAGGATACAGAAGAAAGTGACTGACAAACTGCCAATATGGGCAGACCTGTCTTTGAAATTTCCTGCTTCATGGAAAAATCTGCCAGATACTATGGGTCAGTAGGCTGAATATGGATGACCCAAAATGACAGAACTTTGGGTGACTGTCCAGACAGCGAGATGTTTCTGCCAATTCTAGAGTTTTGGAAGTTGTTTACAATGTACTTCCTGTTTACTTAGGTAATATTATATTCTTCTAAAGTCTTTGATGGAGTTGAAGAATAGTTATTATAGTTTTCCTTAGTTATGATAAAAGATAAAGTAGATATAAATGTTGTAACTATAATTCTTGCTTGATACCTGTTTTGTTATAAACCTTCCTTTTTATTTAAACAGAAAAGGGGAGGTGATGTGCGATACCCCCCCTATGATATGAATACCATTGGTTAATAAAGAAACTGGCTAGGCCTGACAGGGTAGAACAGAACTAGGTGGGGAAAACTAAACTGAATGCTGAGAGAAGGAAGGTGGAGTCAAAGAGAAGCCATGTAGCCCTGCCAGAGACAGACGCCAGAACTTTACCCAGTAAACCACAGCCTCATGGATATACACAGAATAATAGAAATAGGTTAATTTAATATGTAAGACTTAGCCAATAAGAAGCTAGAGCTAAAGGGTCAAACAGTGATTTAATAAATATAGTTTCTGTGTGATTATTTCGGGGGCTGAGTAGCCAGAAACCAATGAGCAGCCTCCCTGCAACATTTAGTTATTAAGGAGTGGTATTACTTGATAAGAATTAGAAGGTGTGGCCTTGTTGGAAGAAGTGTGTCACTGGGGGTGGGTTTTGTAGTTTTAAAAGCCCAAGTCAGGCCCACTGTCGTTCTTTCTTCCTTCTGCCTGCTGATCAGTATGTAGAACTTCTCCAGCAACAATCTGCTTGTGTGCCACCCTGCTCCTTGCTATGATGATAGTGGACTAACCCTCTAAAACTGTAAATAAGCCTCAACTCAATGCTTTCTTTATAAGAGATGCCTTGGCCATGGTGTCTCATCACAGCAACATACTGACTAAGACAGAAGCTGGTACCAGAAGTGGGATATTGCTGTGATGGGCCTGACCACTCTGTTGGCAGAATGTGAATTTTGGATTAGGAAAGCAGTTGAATGCTTTAAGCAGGATTTAATGGGTCATTCAAGTAGGGGCTTGGAAGATAGTGGTGCTGAGGGTGATGTAGACTGTGGGAGCTCAGCAATATAATCATAATGCATTAACATAATAACTGAAATCACCGAGAAACCTATCTTTGAAGAATAGAATCATATTTCCTAGAAAGAACAACTAATATTACCTTTATGTTGGAACTATTTACTTCTGCAAGAAGGATTTGTTCTGATTTAAGTCCACAGAGATCACTCAGCTGCTTTTTCAAACCTGTGTACTTTTCATCCATATTCAGTCTTAGTCCATATCGTATTGGGGTAGTACCATCTAATTTAATTACTAGTAAATAAAACAAAAACTTTTTATTAGTAAAATGCAGGTTAAAAGGAAAGTCTTACAAAACACAACAGATATATCCGACATGCAAACAGCAAATATTTTAGCCTAGATTTTTTTTTGTAAATGCTAAAGTAAAACTTAGGAATAATACTGACTGAAATCAAGATTTTTTTTTAATATTCATCTGATAAAGAAGTCTGATTGGCTTTACAAGCTTTTCAGAGTTTCTGCTATGACTGGCATTAAGAAAAGCATCAATGAGCTCAAAAACAGGCCCATGCTCTAAACCTTTGGTATCTGAAATTGTGCCTTAATGTGGAGTGCTTGATTATAACATGCTGACTACTCATATTTAGGAGAACTCATTGCAAACAAATAACTAAATTCAGGCTGGAAAATAAAAAAAATGAATTGGTTTTTCAGAACTCTGTGACCTACCTGTTATTTCTTTCTTTCTTTTTTTTTTTTTAATTCATGAAACAACCTAGATGCCCTTCAATGGAAGAATGGATGAAGAAAGTATGGAATATATACATATTAGAGTACTACTCAGCAGTAAAAAACAAGGACTTCTTGAATTTTGCATGCAAATGGATGGAAATAGGAAACACTATCCTGAGTGAGGTAAGCCAGACCCAAAAAGAGGAACATGGGATGTACTCACTCATATTTGGTTTCTAGCCATACATAAAGGACATTGAGCCTATAATTAGTGATCCTAGAGAAGCAAAATAAGAAGGAGAACCTACCTGTTATTTCTAAATGCATATAACTGTCCATTGGAAGTGGTAAAGACAAAAAATTGAAAGGGTCAAATCGGACACTTATATGGCCACATGTCTTGCATTTGACTTGGGATCTTAGCTGACCATGGAACAAGTCCACAACGATTGATCTATTTCTCCTTAGATGGTTGTCCCAGGCCTATTAAGGAAAAACAAAATTTTATTTTCAAATTTAAAAGATAAACCTTTCTATACAATCTAAAATTACTGGTTAAGTATATTGGGTTTAAATAACCACAGAATATACTCTTATTCAAATTTAAATGGTGCCACATATAATTGTGGTAAGAACATTGTATTTACTGCTTTATAAGAAACTTAAAACCAAGGAAGGCATAGCTGGTGTACATCTTTAATTCTGGCACTCTGGAGGCAGAGAAAGCAGATCTCTGTGAGTTTGAGACCAGCCTGGTCAACACAGCAAGTTCTAAGACAGTCAGAGCTACATAAAGAGACCCACTACACACTATATACTACCAAATAAAACCTGTAGATCCAGGAATGGGTTACATCATTTTGAATTGTTGGCCAAAGAGATCCTATAGACTTCCCCAAACATAAGCCACTGCTCTTTGTTACTCTGTACAATCTGACCATAAGATTTTATTGCTGAATATACTACATACTTATGCCATTGAACATGGAGAAATTGAGCTGGTTCTTAACTATAAGCTTCACTTTTACTGACCGGAAGGCACTATACACACTACAGGAAAAGGAACCATCAATCTTACTCAGCTATAAACCCTGTGAACTATAATAGTGACTTGCCTGCAAGATATATCCACTCATGCAATAGTGGCACAAATATTTTCAGAATAACCAACCACCATTGGATATAAGGCCTGCTCCTTGAGATTGAACCTGTATTTGACAGTTAATGAGGCCAAGAATCTGAGACTAGATAGATGATAGGCCCCATGGGAAAACCTACAGTTTTCTGCTAAATGAATATTGAAATAAAATGACTCCTAACAACATACTACTATATCCATAGATCAGTGACTTACTTACTCTTCTTGAAGTAGATGGGAATTAAGACTGAGATCCACAACAGAAAAACATGCAAAGAGTGAGAACCTCTTGAGCACTCATCCCTAAATAGGATGTCTTTATCACACCCCGAGCCTCCAGGCTCAGGGATCTATGAGAAGATGGGGGTAGAAAAATGAGATCTAGAGGTGGAAGATAAATCTAAGGAAACAGGGTTTTCCAGATGCAACAGGGCTGGATGTACATATGAATTCACAGAAACTGTGACAGCATTCATAAGACCTGCCTAAGTTCAAACCAGACAACATCTTAGACCAGACAAGGGGAAGAGAGCACAAAATCCAAGGCCAAATTAAGAAGCTATGTGCAGTTAGTAGCTGCTACAAGTGTCAAAACTAGTTTTCTCGAATAGAGTGACACTGCACATGCCCAGGAATTATTGGCCAACAAAAAACACTCCATGTTAACCTAGGGTCCTGGGGGCATGCCTGTAAACTCAGCGCTGGGGGGATAGAGACAGAAGGATCCCTGGAACCTGCTGGCTAGCCAGACTGCCAAATCAGTGAACTACATGTTTAGTTAGAGACATATTTCAAAAATAAGATAGGGCATAGATTAAGAAGACAGCCAACACAAACTAACCCCTATTATTACCTGTACACACATACACTGGCTAGTTTATTCACCAAAAGGCATAAAAAAAAAAGTGTCTAGCTAAGTCAGTAGAACACAAGACTCATTAAAAACAACAAAAGACATTCAAAATAAACAAACCTCTGCAGCTACTTCCCAGTCGGGTCGTCCATCACTGTCTTTTAGTTCTACATATGGCTTCTCGTGGACTCGGTTGAGATCTTCATGAAGACCATCCAAAAGGAAAGCCAGAAGTTCTTGGGAGTCTTGTTGCTGGAACCCATTAAACCTGGGAGCATATTTTGCTATTGTCCACTATAAAAAGGAGGAGTAGCAGTCATTATTTCCTATCTTATAAAATTTGGAACAAGCATGTTCCATAATTCAATCATTGATAAACATCAGAAATAAAGTAAATGGCATAATATTTGGTCTTCCTCTCCTTTAGCAAACAAATTCTGGATAAGAATTTACTCTTTCTAACTTTAATCTCAGGTGACAAAAAAATGAGAGGCATTTCGATAAGAATATTTCCTAGTTTACCATCCGTGTGGTGGTTTGAATGAAAATGGCCCCCAAGGGCCCACAGAGAATGGCACTATTGGGGGTGTGGCTTTGTTGGAGGAAATGTGTCACTGGAAGTGGGATGTGAAGTTTCAGAAGTTCAAGCCAGGTCCAGTGTCCCTCTCTCTTCCTGCTATCTGCCTATCCAGCAGTAGAACTCTCAGCCACCTCTCCAGTATCACGGTATGCCACCATGTCCCACCATGATAAGAGATAAACCTCTGAACAGTAAGCCAGCCCCAATTAAATGTTTTCTTTATAAGTTGCCATAGTCATGATGTCTCATCACAGCAACAGAACTCTAAGATACTATCAAAGCAAACAGTTCTTTATTCACAGAGATGCTTAATTTATATTTATAAAATTTTTATTTATAGAAATAGTAAAATGGCAAGTGACCATCCTGAAATATTTCCTAATGTATAAAAAGGTTTTCTTCTAGTTACCTATTCTGGTCTTGTTCTATCTTAGGTTTTACTGTTAGATTAGAGGCCAAAAAGCATAGTGTTTAATTATCAGGACTTACAACTGAATTATCTTATCAATGCTAAAAATCTATCAGGTATAATTAGGTGGCCTATGCTAGCAGTCAAGGAGTACCAAAAAAGTTTGCTCTTCACACAAGCAAAGGAGTTGGTAAATCTGTAAAATGAACAATGTCTCAAAGATGTACTGTTTTAGTGTTTTCGCTCTGTTCACTACACATACAGCAGTATTTTCCACTTATTTGATTTTATGCAAATTTGGTATTTAGGATAGTTAGTAAAATAATTTAAAAGTTGATTAAGAAAGCTAAATAGAGAAAATGTGCAATAAAAGTGATAAAAGAACCGTTAGGGAATAATAATATTTTCATATTATTTTAGTCTGCTTACCCGAAGCTTTAATGGGGCAACATTCTTCTGAGTTCCGCTCCAAAGTTCCTGCACCAAATCGCCATAGCATTTAGCCATATGGCCTTTCATACCAATGGGATTTGTCCTAGAAGTTTGAGAGGGAAATTTGTTGCCATAGATTCTCCATAATTTACAATCATGTGGGCACAAAACTACCTATCAAAAGACATATCCCTTGGCCCTTATTCATATTTGATAAGGCAATGAAATAACATTTTTTCCTTCACTTTAAAGGGAGAGGAGATTTAAGCAATATTGGATTTAGATCAAAGCTATAGAAAATAAATTGCTAGTGGGTCAAAGAGTATTACCTGTTGAGTTCATAAAGATGCCTCCCTGAGATAAAATACTGTGTCAGTGGTTGTGTGTTACTAACACACTGGATGCTTGAGTTCATGAAGCATGTGTTTCCCAGGTTACTCAGACCTGTGGCTCCCTTTTCTGTGGGAACTGCAACAAATAATGAGACAAGAACCTAGCTATAACAACATGCTGTGGAATGGTCATTTGTACTCAACTTCAACTGTGTTACTTTTCTTTTCCCTCTATTTTTGACAGAAACTTACTTACACCAGAGGCTGACCTCAAACTAAGAATCCTCCTGCATTAACCTTCCATGTACTGGCATTACAGGCATGCGCCACAACACTGGCTTCCAACATGATAATTTAATTTTTTTTTTTTCTTCCTTTTTGAGACAGGGTTTCTCTGTGTAACCCTGGCTGTCCTGGAACTCACTCTGTAGACCAGGCTGGTCTCAAACTCACAGAGATCCACCTGCCTCTGCCTCCTGAGTGCTGAAATGATAATAGCTTGTGCCATTATCGCCCTGTCAGATAAATGGAGATTAATGGTGAGGGTTTTTTCTTTAACCTTACTTTCAGTTTTTCTTTCTTTCTTTCTTTCTTTCTTTCTTTCTTTCTTTCTTTCTTTCTTTTTTTTTTTTTCTTTTTTTGGTGTTCTGAGACAGGGCTTCTCTACATAGCCTTGGCTGCTGTGGAATTTGCTCTGTGGATCAAGATGGTTTCGAGTGTTGGGATTAAAGGTGTATGCCACCACTGCCCAGTTTAAAAGCTTTTTAAACATAATTTATTTATTTATTATGCATACAGTATTCTGCCTGGATGTATGCCTTCAGGCCAGAAGAGGGCACCAAATCTCATTACACAACCATGTGGTTGCTGGGAATTGAACTCAGGATCTCTTAGCCATTTCTCCAGCCCCTTACATTTTTTTAATCACGTCATTCACATCAGTTTTTCATGGAGTTTCTTGGGCAAGCATGATGATCCTTGCTCATCTGTAACCTAGAAATAGCCAAGTGTTGTTTTTAATTGTGGCTGTTGGTATCTTGTGGTAGGCATGCTCATAACACCAATACTTGGGAGACAGAAGCAGGTTGATCAGGAAGTCAATATGAGACTCTGTTTACGACAAGAAAAACACCCCAGAATTAAATTCTCCAAAGATGACTTTATATTGGGTATGGTTGTACACACCTATGATTCTAGCACTAGGAAGGCAGTACTGGAAAAACCATGTAGTCTGGGTTATATAGTAAGATCTTAGATTTAAAGGAAAGGAAATCTAAAACAATTTATTCTTTGAGGGGTGGTTCTGATGGCTTAGTAGTTAAAAGTACTTGCTGCTCTTCCAGAGGACCTGGGTTTGATTCTCAGCACATGTAGAGGTTCATAACTGTCCCAAGCCCAGGGATTTAATATGCTGAACCCTAAGGGTTCTAGGAACACCTGTGGTGTACAGACATAACTGCATTCAAAACACTCATACACATAAAGTAAAATATAAACTTCAGAAATTAAAATAATTATTTTTGAGAATTCTATATACATATTCAATGTATTTTGGTCATACCCATCCCATCACTTCCCATAAGACACTGTCTTTTAAAACAAACAAATTAACAAAAATATATTTGTGAATCATTATTTGTATGTGTATATGTGGGCATTTGAAGATCAGAAGATTATGTGGGTTTCTTCCTCCATTTTACTTTCTATGACAAGGTCTCCCACTGAACCTGGAGCTCATTAATTGGCAGAGCCGCCTGGCCAGGAATCCTTCTATTTTTGTCTCCACAGTGTGGAGATTATAGGTATGTACTACAGTGACTTAATTTTTACATGGGTGGGGGGCTGTGAACTTGGATCCTCACAGTCCTATGCTATGCACTCTACTATCTGAGCTATCTTCCTGGCCCTTATTAATTTTTTTTTTTTGAGACAGAATTTTTTACTTTGAGCCAGACTGCTCTAGATCTCTGCTTTATCTCAAGTGCTGGGATGACAAAAGTATATCACTATGTCCAGTGTATAAATTATTTAACTGCAGAGTTAGAAAGAACAAAAAAGAGTAAGTTTAAAACTGTCTAAGTTAGATGTGGTGGCCTCTCTCCAGAGGTAGTAGGAGGATTAAGTTCAAGTATTCAAGTTCAGTCTAGATGACATAGTGAAAGTATCTCCAAGTACAACAAAATAAATCTGTAAAAATAATATACCGACTTACCTTTATGTCTATCTATTTTGCTACTATTTGCTATAAAGGACATTTCCTCAGGCCAGCTCATATCTTTGTTGCGAACTGGAAAGACAGATTGGAATGTATTAACTTCTTACCCATATGATTCAATCACTCAAAAAACCATGTTAAAAAATTATTTCTATTACCAGAACTTAAAAAAAATCAAGTAAATTTTAGTAAATCTAAAATCATTCCAATTCTTTATATTTTGAGTGTTTCTTGTAGCCCAGGCTAGCCACAGACTTGCTATATCTATGTGTAGCCAACGATAACCAGACTCCACTTCCTGAGTGCTGGTATTACAACTATAGTTGGTTTTATGTGGAGTAGGAATCAAATTCATACATGCTAGTCTAGGCAGTGGTGGCATACCTTAAATGCGAGCACTTGGGGGTGGTGGTGGCAGAAGCAGGCAGATCTCTGTGAGTTTGAGGCCAGCCTGATCTATAGAGTTCCAGGACAGTCAGGGTCACACTGAGAAGCCCTGTCTTTAAAAACTAAAACAAACAAAAATCAAAACAAAACAAAAAAAATCTCATGTATGCCAGGCAACAAGTCTACTAACTGAATTACATCCCTACATCCTTAGCCCCTTACTGTTTTTTTGGTTCACTGATCTCTCTCTCTCTCTCTGGTTAATGTACAAAATAATGGAGTTCATCAAGAATCTTTACACATCATCATCATCATTATAGTTTGTTCAATTCTACTCTTTCTACTGGGGATTTTAAAGTCATTTTAAATAATAGTAAGACACTACTTCAAGTACTAACTTGAAGTAAAATTATATTTAAACATCTACAGAAGTAATTGAAGTTTAGATATAGTAAAATTTCCCAAACTTAAAACATCAGAAATATGCTGGGCAGTGATGGTGTACGCCTTTAATCCCAACACTCGGGAAGTAGAGGCAGGTAAATCTCTGTGAGTTCAAAGCCAGCCTGGTCTATAGAGTGAGTCCAAGGACAGCCAGGGCTGTCACAGAGAAACACTATCTTGAAAAAAAAACAAAAAACAAAAAACAAAACAAACAAAAATCAGAAATATGGAAATCTTTCCATCGAATTAACAATTGTTGATGCAATCCACTAATTTAATCACATGCAGTGTTTTCATGAGGCATTATATTCAACATGAATGCTTCGTGTGTAAATCATCGGTGAGTACAGAAGTTGCACTGTTGGTGAGGGGCCAGTGCTAATGAATACTAGAGTCTGATAGGAGATGGGAACAAAACTTAGTTGGTAGGACGCCTCACATGCATGGGATCCTAGGTTCATTCTCCAGTACTGGGGGAGAAATGGTATCTTAACTCAAAATGGTAGTCTGAAAATTTTATAAAACTTCGTAACTTACAACTGAATTTACCTGTTGCCACCCACATTTTCCTTCCTTGGTCAGCCTAAGGCTACATATAAACAGCCATTCTTCTTCTGAAACAATCTAGTAGGTAAGAAACACACTAGGAGTTCAGTGGGTCTGCTTTAACATAAGGAATATAATGCTAACTATCTTGAGAAAATTGTAAAATGGGATTACTTAGTGAGTAATTCTGTAGTCTTACCCTAAGCTAAAACTTAATCTATGCCATCATATGGGAGGCAGAGGCAGCAGGATCAGAGTAAAAAGTAAAAGATCTTCCTCATCTATTCAGTGAAGTTCAAGGCCAGCTGGGCTATAAGAGATTGTCTCAAAATTACAAAACAACAATTTCCCCAAATTAACCCAACACACAGCAAAAACCCATTAACAAAACTAAAGACTCCCCCACATACATCACCACTACTACAAATAGATGTGCATTTCTATTCTGTACCTTCAATTACCAGGTGCTGCTCATCCTGGATTTTCAAATATTCCAACCTATGATCCTCATCATCCAAAAGAGTCAGGTAGTTCTGTAGAGAAGAAAATGCTTCTGTTAATTTGGCTAGTAAACTTGAAACAAATACAAAAATAAAAATGAATGACAACTACTATTCCTTTGCACTTACATTTTACAGATATTTAGTTGTTCAAATTTATAGTTTAGGGGACAAAATGACGGAATGATGGTGTGTTCTAAAATTTTACATGTTGCTGAAACAAAATTATATATAATTTGTGGAATGGAGTAAATAAGTCACTACAGACCAAACCAAAGTTCACCAGGACAACAGAACTTGCAGAAAATAAAGCTTCATTCCCTTTACTGTGAAAACTGGGGTATAGAATGTTAAGTGACTTGCCTCAGCTGTAAACTAACAAATGGCAGAATAAGGATTTAACTCTTAGTAATGTAACTTGTAACTGAATTTACCTATTTCCCTATTGCTACTCATATTTTCCTTCCTTGTGCACACAAACTGTGCCCTTAATTCCTATATGATTATGCTTCTTAATGGTGACTAAAGCAGGACACAAGAAAGAATATACTAGAGAACAGAGAACTAGGGAAACTATACTTACGACCCAGCTTTAGAATACAAGCAATACTGAATATACTATGAAGAACATACAAGCATTTAATATAGCATTGCCTCTGTGGAGGGTGGAAGATAAAGGTCAGGGATGGAAATAAAGAATTTTTACTATGTACTTTACATTGTTTGTATTTTAAACGTACATAAGCAACTTTAAAAGAAATCTAACAAGAAATCTACTTAAAAAAAAAAAAAAAGACCGGGCTAGAGACCGAGCTCAGTGGTTAAGACCACTTGTTTTTCCTTACAAAGCTCCAGGGCTTCCTTCCCTGCACCCTTTGTTCACAACCTTTTGTATCTCCAGTTCCAGGGAATCTGACCACTCTTCTGGTTTTCATGGGCACCAGGTATGTGCGTGGTACAGACATTACATGCAGATAAAACATAACAAAATAAAAGAAAAATATAAGACTATTTGCTGTAACTTTATAATGCCACAGCAATCTATAAAAATGGTACTGTTTTGCTCATGTTGATTAACTGTCATTATGATCTCAGGTGACAAATGTTTACATGTATGTATACAGAACTTAAAACTCTAAAGTTTTCTTTGAGAACCCAGAAATGGCTTTTAGCATAACTACTACAGACAATTCTCTTCTTTATGAAATACAGTTAAACTCTTTTTTGAAACCCAGAGCCTAGTTTATATTGAACAAGTGCTTTACCACCGGACTATATCCCCAGCATAATTTAACATCAGACTTTTCATGAATCTGAGATGTTTCTTACCTCACTATTGTATAGCCATAGTCGCATATCTTCCTCTTTGATGCGAAGCCTTTGAGACAGATATTCATGAATTTCCTTGATGGTTTGCATTCTACTAAAACAGCCTGTATAGGCTAATACCCGCTTTAGAGGCGCATTTGGAGAAGGTACATTTCCTATAGTTATAGTAGGTATGATAAGGAAAAAAGGAGACATTAAAAGAATATACAAACAAACATAAAACACCGGTTTCAGCAATGGTGACCATGGTAATTTAGAAAACAATGATGAGAAGTAAGAAGTAAATGTTTAATAATCTTATAAATGAAGAATATTATGAAAAACCTGAATATGGATGGACATGGTAATCCCAGCACAAAAAGACCAAGAGTTCATCAGAGTCATCCTCAGCTACATAAAGGTCAGTCTGAGCTACACAAGACCCTGCCTCAAAGAAACCAAAGTAGGGGGCTGCTTGAGAAAATTGTAGACCCAAATATCTTAAAGCCTCAATTTTGTCAATAAAAGCATAGTGATCCAAATAATTGACATATTTTGATCCTAAGAATAGGAACATGATGATAAAAAAAAGTAACTGACATCAGTATATGGCTGTTCTTAGTTTGGTCATAATAGCAAGATGAAATAAAATTCTTCTAAAGAATAGGAAAGGACTGGGTGGTGGTGGTGTATGCCTTTAATCCCAGCACTCAGAAGGCAGAGACAGGAGGATCTCTGTGAGTTCGAGGCTACCCTGATGTATAAGAGCTAGTTCTAGGACAGCCTTCAAAGCTACAGAGAAACCTTGTCTTGAAAAAACAAGCAAACATAAAGAATTTCGGGAGGGGATTAGGGATTTAGCTCAGGAGTAAAATCCTTGCTCAGCATTTGCAAAAGACCTGGGTTTAATGCCCAGAACTGGAAAATAAAATAAAATGAAGAGTGAGGGTGCTTGAAATAGAATGGAATTTGAATTCAACAGATAGTTAATTTCGTTCACCTAATCTAGTTCTTAAAACTCAGAATTGTAGCTGGGTGGTGGCATATACCTTTAATCCCAGCACTCGGGAGGCAGAGGCAGGCAGATCTCTGTGAGTTCGAGGCCACGCTGGTCTACAAGAGCTAGTTCCAGGACAGGGCTGTTACACAGAGAAACCATGTCTTGAAAAAAACCAAACCAAACACAGACAGACAGACAGACAGACAGACAGACAGACAGACAGGGCGGGCGAAAGAGAGAGAGAGAGAGAGAGAGAGAGAGAGAGAGAGAGAGAGAGAGAGAGAGAGAGAATCTAGTTTGCCTACCCAACCTGTTGGCAACACAATGACCTTGAATTCCTGAAGTACTCAGAGTAGAATCAAAAAGACTGGTGATACAATTGTCTTTCAGGCTCTTAGAGGTGTTGATCTGAGAACTTTATTATATATACATATATACTAAATATACTAAGTCTACTTATACTTAAAATATGAAGGAATAAAATGACAAGACCCATGAAAATCAAAGACAAGTTATAAATGTGCTAAATATTGGTCAATTACTTAGTCAACAACCTAGACAAAAGCTGTAGCTCACAACAGTTATACATACCTTCAAGAGGTTAGATTTTTGTTAAATTCTCCTTTGAAAGGAATAATCTTTTGTTTGTTTGTTTTTTTGAGACAGGGTTTCTCTATAACTTTGAAACCTGTTACTAGCTATTTTAGTACTGGCTGGTCTTGAACTCACAGAGATCCATCCATCTGCTTCTGCCTCCCGAGTGCTGGGACTAAAGGTGTGTACCATTACCACCCGGCTAAAAAAAGTAATTTTTTAAAAAGCCTGGTGAATATCGTTAATAACTGAGTATTTGACCAAGAAGCACACAATGTATAGCATAACAAAACTCAACCATGATTTTTTTTAATGTGTACCAAAGCAAATATTTATCTATTAGCAAGCAAAAAAAATAACCCTTAAAACAAATTTCTTCAATTATACATCAGAGGATTAGTTTTAAGATTACAGCAAGAAAGCAGTTTTATAAAATTCAAAATAATGATTCATTTTTTAATTAGTCAGGAATAAAATTTCAAACTAAGAAACAAATTTGGAGAATCAGCACTATCCCATTCTAGAATTCAGAAGCACCGGCAAGCATAATGCCCCAGCCAATCTTCACTGTCCTAGGCCACAAAAAGGAAAACTGAGTTCCAGAGCTCATTAAGCAGGCAGCCACTTATATGCATAATTTTTGCTTTTGAAGAGAACCAGCAAATCAGAAATTCACAGAAGCAGCAAAAATCTAGGATCAGCACAAGAGTTACAAATACTTACTAAAAATGCAACAACGTATCTTGCCTCTCATGTTATCTTTCAAAGAGAATCAAAAAAGACATGCTATGGGTGCCATGGAAGGTATGCTAACATTTCTATTTACCAGAAAGTTAAATAAAGAATGTTTCATAAAGATTCTATTCATTGTTCGTGATTTTAACGTTAAGGAGTGAACACTGTTTTGTTCTGTCATGAAACAGTATGTGAATCATCTTCATACATTATCTGAAGGGAGCCTTTAAAAAAGATTTATATTTTCTTGAAGATTTATTTTTTTAAAATAATATGCTTATTTTTATTTTATGTGAAAATGGTGTTCTTGCCTTCATCTATGCCTGTGTGAGGGTGTAGGATCTTTTGGAACTAGAATCACAGACAACTGTAGGCTGTCATGGGAGGGTGGGAATTTGAAGACAGGTCCTCTGGAAGAGCAGTAAGTGTTCTTAATTATTGAGCCATTTCTCCAGACCAGATTTATTTATTTTTATTTTATGTGTATAAGTATGCATGTACATGTGTGCCTGGTGCCTGTGGAGGTTAAAAGACGTGTCAGATCCCCGAGCACTACTGGCGTTAAGGATGGTTATGAGAATCCATGTGGGTGCTGGGAACTGAATCTGGGGCCTGTTCTGTCCCTTAGGAGAGATGGCTCAGTGGTTAAGAGCACTGCCTGCTCTTCCAAAGGTCCTGAGTTCAATTCCCAGCAACCACATGGTGGCTCACAACCATCTATCTGTAAAGAGGTCTGGCGCCCTCTTCTGGCCTTCAGGCATACAGACAGAATATTATATACATAATAAACAAACAAACAAACAAACAAATAATAAAAAAGACAAGCCCCGCCCACTCCCCCATCCACTGCAGAGGCAGGCAGATCTTACTGCCTGCCTGAAGTCAGAGTCCTTCCTTTCCATCTCAATCTCTCTGTCTCTCTGTCTCACTCTTCTCTTCCCTTCCCTTTCATAACCCACTAAATAAATATTCAATTTCCAACTGCACTCCGCATGGCGTGCTTATCCATCAAGGTCTCTCACCTACCAGGCAGCTTTCTGCCTGGGACCCTTGTGGCTTGCTGTGGTTTCAGGACCTGCTGCCTGTTGCTGCTTGGGGACCTGCAGCATTTTACTTAAACCATTACAGCCTGAGCAGGACCAACAAATGATTTTAACCACGGAGTCATTTCTCCAGCCCCCTTTTAAGGAAAATTCAAAAGAGAGCTAGTACTTACATGGGGTTTACAGATAGTCATAACATTCTAACAACTTAAACACAGTTCAAGACTTTCAATTGATGAATTAATTTTAAATTTTTACTTTACATTACTTAGTATCTGTGTGTGTGTGCAGGTATACGAAGTGTGCATGTAAAGGTCAGAGAACAACTTGTAGGAGTCAGTTCTCTCCTTTCACCATGTGAGTCTGGGGATCAAACTCAGGGTTGTCAGACTTGGTCACAAGTAACTCATGGAGCCAGCTAGCCAGCTCAAATCTATTTTTTAAAGTTTGTTTGTTTATTTATTTATTCGTCCATTCATTTATTACGTATACAATGTTCTGCCTGCATGTAAGTCTGCATGCCAGAAGAGGGCATCAGATCTCATTATAGATGGTTGTGAGCCACCATGTGGTGCTGGGAATTGAACTCAGGACCTCTAGAAGAGCAGCTAGTGCTCTTAACCTCTGAGCCACCTCTCCAGCCCCTCTATTTTTTTTTTTTAAACTGAAGACTAATTTCAAATATTTGCAAGGGAAAATACATAAATATTCTCCACCAATAAAATTTAACTTAGGTTTGAATCAAAGGAGATAACTTTGGGAGCCATCTAGCCAGCTCAAATCTATTTTTTTTTTTTAACTGAAGAATAATTTCAAATATTTGCAAGGGAAAATACGTAAATATTCTTCATCAATAAAATTTAACTTAATTTAGAATCAAAGGAGAACCTTATTCATGTTATATATTAAGAGGAACNGTAAAAAGATTATGTCTCAGCTGGGCGGTGGTGGCACATGCCTTTAATCCCAAGACTCGGGAGGGATTTTGTGTGTATGGGTGTTTTACCTGCATGTATGTCTGTTACCACATGAGTACAGTGTCCTTGAAGGCTCAAAGAGGGAATCCTCTGGAGCTGCAGTTTAAGAATGGTTGAGATATATGTGTATTTTAGTTCAAACTCAGATCCTCTAGAAGATAAGCCAGTGTTCTTAATCACTAAGTCATCACCCCAGACCCCATGTGTATGGGCTTTTGCCAGCATAAATGTATACACACCACATGTGTACCTGGTATCCACAGAAGAGATTGTCAGGTCCCCTGGAACTGAAGTGTCAGATAGATGTCAGCCACCATGTAGGTGCTAGGAATCAAACCCAAGTTCTTTTGCAAGATCAGCCAGTGCTCTAACCACTGAGCAATTCTCTCTAGCCCTTAACCTAAGGTCCTCTTAAAGACAGTGTTGCTCTATATAGTAGGCTGCCCTGAACCTAAGACCCTTGAGTATTGGTATACTAGTCATGTGTCACACACCTTTAATCCCAGCACTCAGGAGGCAGAGACAGGCGAATCTCTGAGTTCGAGGCCAGTTTGGTCTACAGAGCTAGTTCCAGGACAGGCTCCAAAGCTACAGAGAAACGCTGTCTCAAAAAAAAAAAAAAAAAAAAAAAACAACAACAAAAGAAACAAAAAACCCAACCAGAATGCAACCACAAAAAAACTTCCTCAAAATCAAAGCAAATGTATTATGTGTATTATGTCTCTTACAAAATGTTCTTAGCTAGTACAATAAATGCTTCTCGTTTTGTTAAAATAAAAGTAGCCCATAAGGGATTAATTATGTCAATAAATTTGAGTAAGGTTAAAAAGATTAGTCAATGATTGGTGAACTGCATCTTAGGGATAACAACAATTTACAATGGCTTAACTAAAGAAAATTAAGTAAAATCTATTCTATTTGCTATTTTCATAAACTTACAAACTATAAAAGAAAATAAACCTTAGTTTGCACCTAAGAGTTTGCCTCTGTCCCATCCAATCTTGTGCATGACCACAGATCTAAGCTCACAGTGATTTACTGATTCTGTATGAAAGCAAAGGACATATATTAGCACAGTGGCACCAGACTTTGAGCAATGTGATTTTCCATTTATTTTTAAGGAAATGTGTGGCATTCTTGCTGCATTCTTAAGTTACCTCTAGGCAAGTGCTGAGGAAACATTCTCAGGCTCATCATACCCATATTCACCCAGATGTTAGACTGCTGAGTCCGTGTGGCTGGCTGCTGTCGAAGGAAGAGAAGATAGCGAGGAAATAATTCTAGCTCTGGGATTTCCGTCTTGCTATTCTTGATTACCTATTTTTGTAAAAGATTTAAAAAGTAGTGATAACTCTAAAAAACAAAACCCTTTTAGTCAAACTTAAGGTTCTATTAATAAAGTTTTTATAATTTATTGATCTTATGAGTATGAGTGTTTTGCTCGTTTATATGTATGTGCATCACATGTGTGCCTATTGTCTGTAGAGGACATAAGAGGGCACTAGATCCCCTGGACCTGGAGAAAAAAATGACTGTTACCTGCCATGTTGGTACAAGGAACTAAACCTAGGTCTTCTGAAAGAACAGTAAGTGTTCTTATAAACTCTGAACCATTTCTTTAGCCCCTCTTGGTGCATTTTTGAAAATTATTTTTACTTTATGAGCATGTTTTTTTTTAAAAGAAATTAATATATATACATTCCTTAAAATTGTTTTTAAGCTGGGCAGTGGTGGCACATGCCTTTAACACTAGCACTCAGGAGGCAGAGGCAGGCAGATCTCTGTGAGTTCGAGGCCACGCTGGTCTACAAGAGCTAGTTCCAGGCCAGTCTCCAAAGCTACAGAGAAACGCTGTCTCAAAAAAAAAAAACCAAAAAACAAAAAACAAAACAAACAAACAAAAAAAACCAACAACAAAAGGCATGTGTTACTATTCCAAGCTCTGACATTAATTTTAAAATATTCAATAAATTCACTACCTGTATTTTAGTAGCTTACTCCTACATTCAAGCTACATAGATTTGAATATGCTCAGGTTTCTGCTCTTAAATTAATCTTTCAAGATTAGAATTTATAGACATTTCTATCCCACCTTTCATTTAAAAACAAAATTAAGTATCAAAAACCAAACCAAAACAAAACCCTCCAAATCTCAGATGTGAGTTTAGTTTTAGTTTTCAACACTCAATAGCTTCTCTTAAAAACGGACAAACCATTACAAAGAAATCTCAACTGCTCAAGGAAACATCATCCATGGAATCTCAACAGTTCAGCTGCCTAAACAAGACCTAACTAAGGACAACACCAAGGCATGCGAACATGGAAAGGGAAATACTCAAGCAGCCCCACCCCTAGGCAAAAAACTATAGGCAACAAAGAAATGCTCAGAGAGGGAGAAGTAGTCTTTCCCCATGGGAGAGGCCCCTAATTGGTTATTTAACACCCAGGTCAGTCAGCCTTGAAACCTTGCACATGCAACACTGAATGGACTACCGTATATATTTTGTGTGTGTGTGTGTGTGTGTGTGTGTGAGCACACACCTGTGCACATACGTGTCTGTAAATAACAACTGGGGAGGAAGAGGCCAAGAGTTTGGGGTAGTGTGGAAGGTAGTGGGAGGAGTTAGAGGAAGGAAAAAACATGGAGGGAAATAATATAATTGCATTTCAATACCTTTCCAAAACCTTAAATATTACCTAAATACTCATTGAATACATAAAATGTAAAGGAACCTAAAGTTATTTTTCAATTAATTTGAACAGGTTTCAAGTACTGTGCTACCACAAGGTAAGAATTAAATTGTGACTAGGGAAATTCACACAGAAAAGTGAATATCAAACTCTGGCCTTCATACTCCATGCACGCACGCGCACACACACACATCCTTCTATGACTACTTCTTACATAAGGCACTATTAGGATACTTACTGGTCGAGGGAGGGCCAGGTTTGCTCCATACCAATGATAAAGTGCTCTCCATACAGGTTCTGGGACCATTTCATAATCTCTTCCATGGATTAGCTGTGGAGTTCGTTTTAATCTTCCTCCTTCTAGTGTTAACGATGTAGCCTTAGAAAAAAATGAAATTTAAGTATTGTTTTTAATTTTATAGTCTCTTATACATCAAAAAAATGTAGATATAGAACAAATTAATATTATTTCCTAGTTTCATATTGCTGGAAATAAATTTATTCGTCTGTGATTTTTGGTGGCTCCTATTCTGTGAACAAGTTAACTGTTACTGAGTTACATCCCCAACCCAGAAAATGGGATTTTGGCAGAGATTTGTAAGTTTTACTTTTCAGTGAACTATTTAAGAAAGGAACTCTGGGTGGGTAGGGTGGTATAGGCATTTAGCACCAGCATTTAGGAGGCAGAGGCAGGTGAATCCTCGAGTTCCAGGTCAGCCTGGGCTATATAGCATATCCTCTCTCATAGAGAAGCACTATGAGATGACATCATGCCTATGACAGGCTAATTTAAATGAACTACAATGCTTTTCTTTATGCTAAAACCTTTGAAATTTAATGGCTACTTGAAAGAGAACAATTTGAAAGTCTGATGTCAAACACCTACCTTTACTGGTTCTTGAGTTACTAGTGGCTGGTTATCAATAGCTCCTGGCTTCTGAGGATTAAGGTGCAAAAGGATATTCCCATTGGCTCCTAGTAAACACTGGTTGTTATTGTCAGAAGTATTATGTTGCCTTGCAAAGCACATATCTGCCCCTGGTGTGCCAGAATACAGAAAGCCTATCAAGAAACAAAACAAAACAATAATGATAGTTTCTTAATTTTAGTGTTTTTGTTTTTTTGAGACAGGGTTTCACTGTGTAAAAGCTTTGGCTGTCCTGGAACTCACTCCGTAGACCAGGCTGGCCTTGAACTCACAGAGATCCACCTGTCTCTGCCTCCCAAGTGCTAGGATTAAAGGCATAAGCCATCACAGCCCAGTGAAGCAATTTTTAGTTTTTTTCTTCAGAAAATGACTGTACCTTCTTTTTAATTTATTTCTATTTAACTTTATTTTATGTGCATTAGTGTGAGGGTGTCAGATCCCCTGAAACTGAGGTTACAGATAGTTAGGAGTTGCCATGTGGGTGTTGGGATTTGAACCTCAGTTCTCTGGAAGAACAGCCAGTATGCTCCAGACCTTACTTTTGGTTTTTCTATATACACAGGCTTAAATATATAAATCCAAATGTCAATGTATTTTGTTAATGCTCTTATCCTGGTATGTTACTCAAGTTTTACATTTTGATAAATATAGAAGATAAGAAGGACAGATATATTCTTTCTAGATAAAAGATAATAATAGAATTAGAATACAAGTTTTTACCAACTGAACATCTGAACATCTTCCTAGACTATACAATAATTTATAATGAGAATTACAGGCTAAGTAGTTGTGTTTTCACACTCCCTAAAATTCTCATACTGCAAGCATTATTCCAAATATTCTTGGCACAAACAGCAATAGGAAGCCTCTAAACCTCTGTTCCTCTCCTTTTCCCTATCTCTGAGTCAAGGTGTGTATATCTCTGGCTAGCCAGGCATTCACATTATATAGATCAGGCTGGCCTTGAACTCAGATATTCACCTGCCTTCTATTCCCTTTAAAGGGTGTTGAGTGTTACCACACTCAGTGCCTGTTTTCTTAATATAGCTATTTAAAAAGAAGTCATGATCTTTATAATAGAAAAACAGAGAAAAATGCCTAATAATGGCAGTTTGAACCTGATAGTATTTTAAGATATTTCAACTCTCAACTACATGTCAATCTTCTGTAAACATTCTAATTATCAACTGCTTTGTAAACTTCTATTCATGTTACTACTCATCCTATGGGTAATAATGTTATATAGTAAAATACACATCAGAACCTGGACTCAAATGGAAAAAGAAAGGATGATGGAGAAAAATATGAGAATGAAATGTGGTGTTAAAGCAGATCACAATACTTCTAGGACCACTAAATGATTTCTGTCATGTCAGACAGGGAGGTAAATAATAGAATGAAGGAAATGCTAGTTCTGCCAGTGTGCTTACTACTCCCACAGAAAAAGGAAGAAAATGTCAGAAGAGAAAATAATGGCAGAGAAAATGTTTGAGGGTTTTAGTATTTTATCAGCAATTAAGAGGAATGATTCTCAAGATGAATTATAGTAGTACTAAAGTATCTTCCTTGTAAGTATAGAACCATTAAGTTTCAGGTAAGTACAAAGGACAGAAGGGAATTATGGTAAGTATTATTAATATATAGCATTTTAACAAAATAAATCTCAAACTTCTGGGCTGAAGTGTTAAAACAATCTAATATGAAGATTCTAATCCAATGAAGGCACGTTTATGATTAAGGAGTTCTGGATACGGATAATTTTATTTTCTTAAAAATCTGTATTCACTAGACTGAATTTATTGGCAAAGCATTAAATAGCAATATGGCTTGGCTAATGAAAAATGAAAGGACTTTCATAGTGAGAGATTACTTTTACTTAAAAACCAAGAATACACCCAAGAATTTTATAATTGACTATTTTATTCAAAATATATTTCTTTGAATGGAAGCCTGATATTGATACTGTTCTGGTGTAGAGTTCCTTCTGTTTGTGTGTTGCTTTCATTGGTTAATGAATAAAGAAACTGCCTTGGCCTAGTTGATATGGTGGAACTAAGGTAGGTGAAGAAAACAGAACTGAATGCTGAGAGGAAGAGGGGCAGAGTCAGAGAAGCCATGGATCCTCCACCTGAGATGGACACCAGTTAGAATCTCTGGTAAGCCATTGCCATGTAGCGATACACAGATTAATGGAGATGGGTTAAACTAATATGTAAGAGTTAGTCAATAAGAAGTTAGAGCTAATGGCCAAGCAGTGTTTTAATACAGTTTCTGTGTGGTTATTTCAGGTGTAAGGTAGCCAGGTAGCCAGGCAGCCAGGACGAACAAGGGGCCCTCTCCTTACAACACTGTGCCCACAAAAGCAGACTCAGAGAGAATAATCACGAGTGGTGTGGTGGTACATGCCTGTAATCCCAGTACTTAGGAAGTTCCAGGAGAAGTTACAGGTCCACCTCAGCTACAAAGCAAGATCAAGGCTAGTCTGGGTTAATTGAGAACCTGTGTCAAAAACATTATTAAGCCCCATGGGAGACATATTTACCACTGCCAGTAGACTCTGAGGCTTCAGATGCAGAAGAAATGTTGTCTGAGTATTTCTCTTCTGTGGTATTCATATAACTGAGGTTGTTACTGATTTTATCTTCTCCCTGCTCCATAGAATGTGCTGCTGTTCCAAATGAAAATTTTCCCCCATTTAGAACTGATGATGGCTCAATCACAACAGGGTTGGCATCCTAAAATCATAAAAAATAAGACAAATATAACATTCTACACGTAACTGTAGCTTTTAAGGAATTATTTTTAACTTATTCTATTGTGTTTTATGTACATGTGATGTGGGATTCCCCTCTGTATGCTGATTACCATTAATGAATAAAGAAACTGCTTTGGACCTATAGCAGGGCAGAACTTAGCTAGGCAGGGAAAACTAAACTGAATTCTGGGAGGAAGAAGGGCAGAGTCACAGAGAATCCATGGAGCTGCCGCTGAAGACAGACATGCTGAAGACAGACATGCTAAAACTTTGCTGGTAAGCCATGACCTCGTGGAGATGCACAGATTAATGGAGATGGTTAAATTAAGATGTAAGAGTTAACCAATAAGAAACTAAAGCTTGGGGGAGGGGGAGGGAAAGGGGAGGCGGCGGTGGGGAAGAGACAGAAATCTTTAATTAATTAATAAAGAAATAAATTTAAAAAAAAGAAACTAAAGCTAATGGGCCAAGCAGTGACTTAATTAATACAGTTTCTGAGCAATGGGAATGAAACAAGCAGTCTCCCTACAACATACGTGGGTGTTTTGCTTCCATGTGTCTATGTATCATGTGTGTGCTTGGTGCCCTCAGAGGCCAGAAGAGGGTGCTGAAACCCCTGGAGCTGGAGTTACAGAAGGTTGTAAACTGCTATGTGGGTCCTAGGAATTGAACCTGGGTTCTATGGTAGAGCAATTAGAGCTCCTAACCACTGAACCATCTTTCTAGTTCTTAAAAACAATTAATTCTTATCATTGTGAGTTGCTAAAACCATTTACTATATAAATTTTACTTCCTTAAGGGGAGAATGAATATGTATATACACACATACACAATGCCCATAATATATTCATATAATACATACAATATACTCAACAGTACACTGAGAAAGACTGTACCACATAAACAAGGTCTGAAAGGCACTGATTACCACATACAGCAAAACATTCAAAATCAAAGGAGAAGAACAATTCATGATAAAAACAAATTTAAGAAATTTATGTTCACCAAGTTAGATCTACAGAGGATACCAGAAGGATACTTCAATCTGAAGAGAAGGTTAACCACACCAAGAGGACAGAAGGAGTAATAACAGAAAAGTTAATCAGAAGAGGTGGGGGAAAAAACACCAGTACTACAACAAAATGTCAGGAATTAAAAAATATTGCTCAACAATAACTCTCGATATAGTCTCAATTCCATAAAAAAAGACAAAGTCTCACAGATTGGCTTATAAAACGGGATTCATCTTTCTTTTGCCTCCAAGAAACACAACTCACCATCGAGGACAGATACTATCTTAGGGTAAAAAGGATGTAAAAGAGTATTCCAGGCAAATGGAACTAAGAAACAAGTAGGTGCTGGGCAGTGGTGGTGGTCCATGCCTTTAATCCTAGCACTTGGGAGGCAGGGCGTTCAAGGCCAGCCTTGACTACTACAGAGTTGAGCTCCAGGATAGCCAAGGCTACACAGAGAAACCCTGTCTGGAAAAAAACAAACAAACAAACAAAAACAAACCAAAAAGAGATTCCCATTTGTCTACTAGATTCAACATTATTTGCCAACAGGTCCCTGAAGTCTACATATATTTATTCATTGAGAAACACTACACTCCATGTTTGCTGTTTATGTTTTATATTGGAAAACATATGGGCTAGGAATGTAGCCAAATGGCAGTGTGCTTGTCTACTGTGTGAGGCACTAAAGCTCAACCTTCAGAACAGCAAACTGAACTTAAATAAGATCCACTTCCTGAGTGCAGACTTACAAGTATGGATAACTATGCTCAGCTGAAATGAAGTTTCTTATATAAGAAATTAACACTTCTTACTAATTTCCTCAAATTTTTCTTTTCTTTTTTTGAGACAAGGTTTCTTTATGTGGTCCTGGCTGTTCCAGAACTCCCTATGTAGACTAGACTCACAGAGATACACCCACCTCTAGCTCTTAAGCACTGGGATTAAAGGTGTGGGATATCACCACCCAGCCTCTCTCCCAATTTTTTAATGTAAAAGGCGAAGGACAATGCAAATAACATACTGACAACACGTTATTTTAGAAACCAGTTGCTACACTGAATCCCAGGTCTACACTGAAAAAGATAACCAGGTTTATTTTTCTCTCAGCAACAAATTCCTCACAAGTAAAAGAAATATAACCTCTTCACTCATAGAGAGAGGAGAATTCAATGACATATAGAGTGGGTAACATAAATAGGCACCTCCTTTTTCATAGGGTTGATGATAAGGGAAAAAATTTGTGTAGAAATGCATATATACAATTTTTACAAATACTCATTTCCTTTCCTTTTAAGTCTTGGTCCAAGTTGGAATGTTTTATTACTAGGTAATACTTCTACAATCTGATAGAGTTGAAAATGTTACTATAAAATTTATATAGATAGGAATTTAACTCACGTATTTGACATATTCTTTCCACTGTTGCCACCACTGCATGGAGATGATAAACCAATTGTGTCCTGGCTGCAGACCATACCTGCTTTCTCGTTCTAACCATCCTCTGTACATAAAAAAGAAATCCAATGTATAAAAAGAAATTGTGTGAAATTAAAGGCAAGACTGTAATTTGTCACTGGAATTACTTTCTCTTTCATTAGAAATTTCAAAACAGAAAAACACAAAACACAAAGATGTACTCAGCAAAGACTGCCACTATTGCAATTAGTGTAGTGGAACACTGTTCTACCAGAAAGTCAATTTCAATAGTTACAGGCCATAGCGACGCATCATTCATAAACATTGTGGGGCTGGAAAGATGGCTAAGTTGGAAAGTGCTTAATCCACAAGTACAAGGTCCTGACTTCAGATCCAGCACTATGTAAAAGCCAGGTGTAGTACTGCATGCTTAAAATCCAAGCAAAAAGGTTGTATGTAAACAGGTAGATTTCTTGAGTTTGTTGGCCAGTATTCTAGTCAATGGGTAACTGTGAATGAGAATGGCTCTCATAGCTCGTGTTTGAATGTTTGGTCTCTGGTTAATGGAATTATTAGGAAAGGATTAGGAGACACATCTTTGTTGGTGATATGTCACTAGGAGTCAGCTTTGAGATCTGAAAAGCCTATACCAGACCCAGTCTTTTGTCTTTTCTTTACTTGCTGCCTTGGATTAGGATGTAAGGTGTCAGTTACCACTGCTGCCAAAGCTTGCTGACAAGGTGATCATGAACTAATCCTCTGAAACTGAAAGGAAGCCCCCAGGTAATTGCTTCCACAGTTGCCTTAGTCATGGTATTTCTCATGGTAATACAACAGTGACTTACAGGATAGGAAGAGTCCCATAAGTTGTCCTGTGACTGCCATACATGTCCCATCACATTCCCGTCCTCACAAAAAAGTATGATGCAGTAAAAATTGTTTGAAAAATACCATAATAAAAAACTCTTCGTATGCTAGTAAAAATAAATTTAAAATAACAACAATTTAAAACTATCCTAGTGGTAAGAATCAGAATTTCATTGTGGTTTTGATTTTATTCCTTTAATAACTAATTATATTGTTCATCTTTCCATGTGTCTGGAAACTGAGTATCTCTAATGAGACACATGTCCACTGATGCAATGAAAACATTATATAACCACTTGTAGTTCTCTGTATTTTAAGTTATATCTCACACAGACATGTGTTATAAGAATAGCTAACAAAGGGCTGGAGAGATGGCTCAGCGGTTAAGAGCATTACCCCCTCTTCCAAAGGTCCTGAGTTCAATTCCCAGCAACCACATGGTGGCTCACAACCATCTGTAATGAGGTCTGGTGCCCTCTTCTGGCCTTCAGGCATACACACAGAAAGAATATTGTATACATAATAAATAAATATTTAAAAAAAAAGAATAGCTAACAAAACAAAAATAAATATCAAGCCCATTAACTGAAGACACATTTATAAGTTTTATTATGATCCATTAGGTAGTCTGAAAAATATAAAGATTATACTGATCAAAGTCATAAAAAAATCACATGTTACATACAGTTTGTTTGTTTTGTGTTATCAAAACAGAGTTTCTCTGTGTAACCCTGGCTGTGCTGGAACTTGATTTGTGGACCAGGCTGGCCTTGAACTCAGTGTTCTCTGTCCTCTGCATCCAGGTGCTGGGATTAAAGGCACGCACTACTACTGCCCGACTACATACAGCTCTTTAAATAAAACTCCAAAGTGATATCAGATAATAAAATCCAGCCACAAGGATCCTTGCTATAATTGATAATGACATGGACTGTCTTGCATTTTAAAAAATATACTTGAGGACATTCAACTGCTCTAAGACAACTGAGACAAATCACCACTCTCATTTTTCCCTCCAAGGAAACTTAAAAACATCAATTATTGTGCATGCATGCAAGCAAGCATGAGTGTGTATGTATGTATCCTTGCGTGCACTCACGTCATTGCATGTGTACAGAAACCATAGGACAAACCCAGGGCTTTAGAAATCCAGTCAGGTGATAGTGGTCAAGGGCACAGCTGTACACAGATGTCATTGCCTCATACAGTACTCCCTAGATGTTTTTTGATTGTCCCCTCTGGTGGCAACTGCTAAAGGAGTTGCCTGTTCTCTATATTTTAAACAGTTATCTTTTTGTTGTCGAGCTGTAGCCTCTCCTTATACATTCTGGCTAATGAAGGCGTATGGAAGCTACAGTTTGTTGATATTGCCTTTCACTTTGTAGGCTGTCTTTCATATAAAGAAGTTTTAGATTGTGAGGAAGTCTAAGTTACTTTGTAAGAGAATGCTTTTGGAGTCACATCTAAAAATCAAATGCAAATCCAAATAATTTCTTTTTCCTTCCTACTTTCAATTTATCTCCACTATCCAAATCATTTTAAATAGAGTATTTTGTTGGATATAAAATTCTTAGTTGGTTTTTTCTACCCTTCTTAATTCTGAATTCTATACTTTTTGATGGAAAAGTTGGCTACTCTTAGTGATGTTCTCCCATTATGACAAGTTGATTTTATCTTGCTGCTCTGAAAATTCTTTTAGTAATTACATTAGACTGTAAGTTTTCTACCACTGACTGACATCCCTGCCCCAGTACAACTTTAAAGTTAAACAGAATTTTTTTTAAAGAAATATTTATTTATTTATTATGTATACAATACTCTGTCTGTGTGTATGTCTGCAGGTCAGAAGAGGGCACCAGATCTCATTACAGATGGTTGTGAGCCACCATGTGGTTGCTGGGAATTGAACTCAGGACCTTTGGAAGAGCAGGCAATGCTCTTAACCGCTGAGCCATCTCTCCAGCCCAGTTAAACAGAATTTGACTTTTAAATTAATCTAGCTCCTTAGCTAGGAAGATGTCTTGGGATTAAAGGTGTGGGCCACCATGCAGGCCTCTACATGTAATTTTTAAAAATAGCTTTACTTTAATAATCAAAGCAACACAAATTGTTTCTTGTAACTAATGTATTTCAGACATAGAAATTTCAGCTACGTAATAAAAACCCCACGAAACTATAAAATTACCTAATAATTTGTCCTTCTTCTTCTGGAGTAGCTGGTCTTAACCCCAGAACTATGTGGCATACCTAGGGAAAAAGAAAGAATATTCAAACTTTACTAGTGGAACCAATAATTAGTCTGAGTAATATTTGATGTGATTTATATAAAATCTACTTTTTAAATGGGAACTGAATTAACATTGGTTTAACTGGTGAATTATCAATTGTTACCTGAGGAAATTTAACTAAGTAGTGTGGATTTTTTTTTTTAAATGGAGGTTAACTTCCAAATCTCCAGTAACAGAGTAGTATATGTTTTAGATCTAGAACAACCAGGCATCAGCTGTCAAGAAGAGACCAATTTCCATTTCTTCACTAATACAGGCACATGACAGAAGGCACCCTCCCAAATCTGTCATTTGCCTTAAACATACCTGGAAGAGGAGATTCAAAAACTCATTGGCAAGAACATTTTTCACACTCCAGATCTGATAGTCTTCCAGAGTAAGATGGCCCATCTGAAAGAGAGACATTTAAGCTGATCCTGTCAATAAATGTCATTTATTACAGCACTAGAAAAAAATCATATTTTTTGAAAGCAAACTAATAATATATATATGGTATGGGTTCACACAAGAAGCATGACAATTAGTATCATTTTACAAGTAATTACAAATGGTAAAAAAAACACCTATAATTTTATTCAAGCAGTCAGTTTATTATTTATTAACAATTTCCTTTCTCCAATACGACTTTGGAAATAACCTGCACACAGTGACATGGATCTGTAATTTCAGCACTTGGGAAGTAGAAGCAGAAGAATCAGGAGTTCGAGGCCATTCTTGGATACCCAGAGAGTTTGAAACCAGCCTGGGATACAAATAGTGAAATCCTTTCTCAAAAAATAAAGAACAACAACAATAATAGATGTCTTAGATAAATAGTGAGATATCATATATGCATAGTATATAGTACCAGTGAATCAGCAAAATCCTAAACTGTCACTATTTTATTATTATGGTTACATGGAGACTTGAGCAGCTAAACAATCTGCTCAATGGTCACTGAAGCCAGAAATATTAAACTTCATTTAACATAAAAATACAGTACTTATTCAGGGCAGTGGCAGCACAGGCTTTTAATCCCAGCACTAGGAGGCAGAGGCAGGCAGATCACCAAGTTTGAGGCCAGCTTGGTCTACAGAGAGAATTTCAAAAGAGCCAGGGCTACACAGAGAAACCTTATTTCAAAACAACCAAAAGAAAAAAAAGGTACTTATTATTATTATTTTTAATGTGTATAAGTGTTTTGTCTGTCTGTGCACCACATGGGTGTGTGATGGAGCCGCAAGCATCATCCCTCGGTACTGGATTTGCAGTCAGGTGTGGGTCACTGGAAATCAAACCAAGTATCTTGGGAAGAGCAGCCATTGCTCTTAATTACTGAGTCATCTCTCCAACCTGCTCTTTTTTAAATTATATAATGTGTTTTCACCCCCCACCCTCTGTGTGTGTGTGTGTGTACAAAGTCCAGAAGAGGGGAGTAAGTAACTGGAGCATACAGGTAGTTATGAGCTAAATATGGATCCTTTGCAAGAGCAGTATATACTTTTAATTGCTGAGCCATCTTTCTAGCCATAGATAGCAATACTTGTGTGTTTGTAAAACACTAAAGGAAAGTGTTTTAAACTGCATCTCTATACAACGCAATTTCTTTTTTCTTTTGTTTTTCCAAGAGCTGATTTGCCTAGAACTCTCTCTGTAGACTAGGCTGGACTCAACTCAGAGATTTGTCTGCCCCTGCCTTCTGAGTACTGGGATTAAAGTTGTGTGCCATAACCATTCTATCACCTTTTAATTAATGAGGTTTTACTATGTAGCCTAGAACTCTTAATCCTGCTCTCCTATGTCCGACTTCTAAGTAATGGGATCACAGGTGTGAGCCATCATACCCAAACTAAAAAGCAATTTCTAATAGTTCCTTCTCTAGGTTTTTATCCTTACACATACCAAACAGAAGTGGACACCTTAGTTTGACAGAAAAGGTGAATAAACAGGGAAGATTAAATTGATAAGTAGACTTTCAGCCCTGCAAAAATATATCATCATTTGTTTCTTTTTCTTTTTTTTCTTTTCTTTTCTTTTTTTGTTTTGTTTTTCGAGACAGGGTTTCTCTGTAGCTTTGGTGCCTGTGCTGGAACTAGCTCTTGTAGACCAGGCTGGCCTTGAACTCATAGAGATCAGCCTGCCTCTGCCTCTTGAGTGCTGGGATTAAAGGTGTGCACCACCACCCGCCGGCCGTCATCATTTGTTTCTATAGTTAATGGGAATATCATTTCTTCTGTGATTGTATCAAGAAAATAACTGACTTAATTATTTTTTCTAAACCTCAATTTTATAACACCATTATGGCTGATAATTTACCAGTCTGCTACTAAGTATGTGTCAGTATTTGAAAAGATTCAAATCACTTCAAATGTACTTCACACATATAAATTATTTTTAATTTCACAGAGATAAATAGTTAAAATTTTAAAACAAGCTACAGAAGTAAATAAATCTGTTATGGTACTACCAATAAGTCTTACCAAACTAAATAATTTGAGTTATTATTTGTAAATCTATGGCCTCAGCTATCTTCATGGTTCTTCCCAGTTAATCTAATCACCCCAGAAATCACAACCTCTATGTCTACCACTGTTAGCTTTTCTTCTGTTCTTAAGTCTGACACACTAGAGCCATGCTAAATACACTGTTTAGTTTCCTTTATTCACTATAAAGCTGTCCTCTTTGTAACTTATTAAATGGAAGAAATAAAAACTACAAAAGGCTATCAAGGGAAGTCTCTACTTAACACATGTATGAGCCTTCACTGAGCTGCTGTTTGAAGATGGAATGGGCTATCTTTAGAGATGATGTGAAGATATTTTAACCACAGGTCCAGATAACTGGGTATCTGGAATGCAGAAGAGTCATTTGACCATACATATAAATGACACATTTTGATTAGAGCATACAGTATTTTTAGAAAAAAATGAATTACTCATAGCTAGTCTCACCTTTGTGGTATCATGTGCATTCAATATGTCTTCTACAATGTCCGACAGAGCCATATGTAATTCCTTTAAAAAGAAATCCAAGAGAATAGTGTGTATAATTTTTAATCCCCCCATATATAAAAAATGATGCTTTTTAAAAATTTCTTCTCAAACATTCACTCCATCTTCCTTGTAAACAATCAGAACTTAGCAGGACATGGGCACACTACATACCTGCCTTGGTAACATTAAAACCCTGTCTCAAAAATCAATCAAACTAAAAAGAGAACTTACAGGAATATCATCAGTGCGGTTATCTTTCCAGACCTCCAAAAGTGCAACCACCATGTCTTTCAGTTCAACCCTGGACAGAACTCCATCACGGTCAACATCAAACACCTTGAAGCAAACTAATGACAAAAAACTCTTAGGAAAGGAAATCACTTTTAGATTCTGAAACACGATACATTTCATTATAAACTACCCTCTCCAATTACTTAATTTCTCAAGCCAGTATGTTCTAGAGCAGTTCCCATCGGGAGTAGACTATTCTATAGCATTATCATTATTTGTTTGTTTGTTTGTTTGTTTGTTTGTTTTGAGACAGGGTTTCTCTGTTGCTTTGGAGCCTGTCCTGGAACATACTCTGTAGACCAGGCTGGCCTCGAACTCAGAGATCCGCTTGTCTCTCCCTCCCAAGTGCTGGTATTAAAGGTGTCTACCACCATCATCTAGCTAGCATTATTATTATGATTATTACCATTATTGTAATATACAGAATTTTGTGAATAGATCTTATGACTGTCTCTAAATCACCACACAGGTTAAAGAGACCCATCCATCAGTCAAATTCAGAGGAGCTACCATTCTTATACACTGGAAAGAAAGGGTTAAGTCATTCTGTAAGAAGCATAACCTTATATAGGTTTTCAAGAGGCAAGGCAAATTTTTTAATCTTTCTTCGGCCTGGAGCTGTTCAATCAAACCAGGGTAATTCTACGCATATGCTTTTGTTTGCACTCAGCTACATCCACATCCCCTCCCTTAGGTTAGTATTTGCATTCAGTCAGTTATCCCCTCCCTTTAGTTAGTTTCTCATATCCAAGACTGATCCCTGAAGGGCTATTTCTCCTGTGCTTAAAATTCCCATCTTCACTGAGAATTAGAATCCTAACTTCTACTTAACCTGTCAAAAAAATCTAATTTACATTTAATACTTTGTCAAGTATAACTCTTTAGTAAAGTTTATATACAACAATGTAGAAATTAGACAATTACCACATTAATTCTAAATGAATAATTCTGGTTTGTTAACTTCTGGCTGATCAGTAAC